CTCCAGCAGCACTCCATTGAGGAACGCAGTGGTGATATCCATCTGCTTCACGTGCCATCCCTTCACAGCTGCGCCAGCCAGCAAAGTCCTTAGTGTCACTGGCTTAGCAACGGGAGTGAAGATCTCCCCAAAGTCGACCTTCTCTTTCTGCTGAAACCCCTTGGCGACCAAGCGGCTCTTGAACCGCTCCAACGCACCATCAGCTCCACTCTTCACCTTGAAGACCCACTTGATGCTGATCGGCCGTCGCCCCTCGGGTAACTCAACAAGCTCCCAAGTCCCATTCTCAATGAGACTGTTGAACTCCGCATCCATGGCAGCCTTCCACTCCTCCTTCTGGGGTCCACTGAGTGCCTCCTCCAATGTGGCTGGTTCTCCAAGCAAGGGTGTGAAGAAGCAGAAGGCCATCTCCTCATCCTCTCCCTCATCCGCCTGAACCGCCATGGCACCTTGCTTGGTTCCTCCCAAACGGCTATACTTCAGCCTTGAGGGTGCTGCTGCCACTCTCTTCTCGCGGGTTGCAATCTGCTGCCCATGTGGTGAAGCTCCTCTCTGCACACTCCTCTTGGTGACCTTGGCAGTTGCAGCAGGCTCGGGCTGAGATGGTGAGTCCACACGTGCCGACTCATCCTCCAACCCCTCCTCTGCAGCAGGACCAGAAACTTGCTGCTCACCACCGCCACTGTGGTCACTGGTCAGCTCTGACCCAGGGAGATCCTCAAGGTGCAGCTGAACCTCCTCCACTGCAGACCGCTCAATCTCCTGTAGACGCAAGCCAATCTGCACCTGCTGCTGCTGTTGCCAGTCCTTGTACATGACGTTCTCCACAAACTTGACGTCACGGCTGACTAGCGTCTTCTTGCTCTTGGGGTCCCACATTAGCCACCCCTTCGACTCAGGAGCCATCCCAATATGGACAGCCCACACAGCAGCAACTTCCAGCTTGTGCCTCTGCTCCTTAGGCACCATCACAAGCCCCATGCAGCCCCACACCCGCAGCATGTCAATGGATGGCTTCTTCCCAAGCCAACGCTCGTACGGCACCCAATGCTTGTCGCCAACATGTGTCAAGACCCTGTTCTTGACCGTGATAACATGGCGAACAGCTTCAGGCCAGAACTTGTAAGGCATCCCAGCAGCCCCGAACAAGGTCTTAGCCGCCTCGCCAATGGTCAGGTTGGCACGCTCAGCAATGCCGTTCTGATGCGGTGTTCCTGGGCAGGTTAGCTGGTGCCGAATGCCGTTCCTCTTGAGAAACTTGGTGAATTCCGCTCCAAGGAACTCTCCACCACGGTCGCTTCTCAGCACCTTCACCAACCGCATCGCTTGCCGCTCCACCATCGGCAACCAATCCTCTTTGATCGCCGCTGCAGCATCGCTCTTCTTGGACAGGGGACGTGCCCACGTGAAACGGCTCCATTCGTCCACCATGGTGAGGAAGTACAACACTCCCCCAGTCCCCTCAGTCCTCATAGGACCCACCAGGTCCATGTGCACCACCTCCAGTGGCGCCTTAGCTGATCCCTCCGCACAATCGCCTTCGGATTGTTCGCAGTACAGCCAGCGCGTGAGCGACCCTGAAAAGGACATTATCGGGACGAAGTTTCTTCGAATTTTCGTTCCGACAATCTCACCATCGAGATCGTACTGCGAGTTTCCAGGATACAGTCACGTGCGTAGCCCCCTGCTTTATCGGGAAGAAGTTTCTTAGAAATTTCGTTACGAAACACCCATCATCGAGGTTGAGTTTCGATAATGCACAGCGCGTTACTACTCTAATCCTGACTTCTCGACACTGAACAATCAGACTATGTAACTTCCCAACACTGAGCAATCAGGGTGATGTTTTTCGGGAAAATATGCACCCATAATACAGGGGGAATTTATTTCCCGGATTCAGGGAGGCTTAATTTGAAACGTCGGCCCTGAGAAGCGCTCGTTCCGAGCGTTTTTCTTCCACCGGCGTGGTGTGGTGTGAAAACAGAACGAGGAATGAAACAGAAAAGAGGGGTTTCACTAGCAGGCAGTTGAGTACATATAGCAAACCCTAACAGGGCTGTACTCAATATAGAGTACCCCACTGCAGACTAGAGAAATATAACATTCTGACACACCCCCATAGTCAAAGTGGGGTATAATCAGCACAGCAAGCAGTCATAGAGCAGGTTCACAAGTACAAGCACAGCTAGAGGCATTCACAAAGGGCAAGTGAGGAGGAGGAGGGACTGTGAGAGGAGAGGAGATGGGAGGCGACGGCGGGAGCTGCAGACACACAGGAGCGGCTGGCTCAGTGCCTACCGAAGCAATGGCCCGGACTTCAGGAGTAACTGGCTCCGCGGCTACGCCGAGCGGCTGAAGCAACTGACCCACGGGCGACTGGCGACTACCGGAGATTGTAGCCTTCGGACTACTGGCGCTGCTGGCGACACGACGGCTACCTCCGCTCATCCTCCCCCAACTGTCCCACCCCCCTTTCACACACCCCCTGCTGCACCCCTAGCTCCACTCCCACGACACCCCCCTAGCACCACTCCTTCGGCTCCCACACACCCACCCCCCTCAGCGGCAGCTGCAGCAGTGGGAGACGGAGGAGGAGGAGGAGCAGGGGACGCCTCACACACCCGCCACCCCCATACCCGCCACCCCCATACCCCCCAACACAGGAGGCGCGCGTGCGGCGCAGGGCAGAAACGCGGGCAGCACCTGGGGCGCTGCTACAGGCGACGGGTAGGGCGGCGCGCGGGCCCCCAGGGCGCCGCGACGGGCGACGGGAGGGGGCGACGCTCGGGCCCCCAGGGCGCCGCGACGGGCGACGCGAGGGGGCGACGCGCGGGCCCCCAGGGCGCCGCGGCGGGCGACGGGAGGGGGGCGACGCGCGGGCCCCCAGGGCGCCGCGACGGGCGACGGGCAGGGCAGCGCGCGGGCCCCCGGGGCGCTGCGACGGACGACGGGAGGGGGCGGGGCGCGGGCCCCCGGGACGTCGCGACGGGCGACGGGAAGGGCAGCGTGCGGGCCCTTGGGGGCGTTGCGACGGGCGGCAGGAGGGGGCGGGGCGCGGGCCCCCGGGACGTCGCGACGGGCGACGGGAGGAGAGAGCGCGCGGGCCCCCGGGGCGCCGCGACGGGCGACGGGAGGGGGCGGCGCGCGGGCCCCTGGGGTGCCGTGACGGGCGACGAAACCGCCGCGCGCCCCGAGCGCGTGGCGGGCAGAAAACCGCTGCGCGCCCCGAGCGCGTGGCGGGCAGAAAACCGCCGCGCGCCCCGAGCGCGCGGCGGGAAGAAAAAACGCCGCATGCGCTGGGCGCGCGGCAGGCAGAAAACGTCGCGCGCGCCCCGGGGCGCGCGATAGGCAGGACAGCAGCGGAAGCTTTAGGTGGGCCCATCCACAGGATCGACCAGGGAGGGTCGACCTGCTCTGAAACCATGTGAAAACATAACGAGGAATGAAACAGAGAAGAGGGGTTTCACTAGCAGGCAGTTGAGTACATATAGCAAACCCTAACAGGGCTGTACTCACTGTAGAGGTCCCCACTGCAGACTAGAGAAATATAACATTCTGACATGTGGCTCGATTCAGGGGTGCGTTGGCACGCGGAGAATGGGCTGATCCGCGCTAAAAAGGTTTCGGTATCAGGGTAGTGCACACACAACCCTGATACCGTCAGGCTAACCATAATCCCTATCAGTGTAAAAAATAACTCTTTTTGCGAAAGGGTAAAAATATCGGAAGCCTGATTTCGAAAGGGTAACTCTGAAACAACAGCCGCCCACCCAAGTAGACGCGCCCAAGTGTACATGTAGCTTGGTCAACAATTCATTCACACTTCAAGACGCAAAGTTCACTAAACGTTTAGACGCGACTCCGGAAAAAACGAACATTGAGACACAAGTGTCGATACTGGAATGTACCCTCAGACTACCGGTAGTCAAATCCTAGCAAATGACCCTCAAACTGAACTGTTTTAACATGGAGATTCAAATTGTTTTTTTTTTTTTTTTTTTTTTTTTTTTTTACGTCGGCCCCGATCAGGGCTAATTTTATCAGGGTAAATCACCCTGATACCCTGATAATCAGGGTGGTTTTTGGCTGTCACACTGATGCCTTAAGGTAATTTTTTCAGGAGCTTGTATTTTCCTGATAGGCCAGGGTTTACGTGTAAGGTACACTGACGGCCCAGGTTTACCGATCTTCGTAACGAGTTTTACCCTGAATCGAGTACATACCCTCCCCAAGCCGCCCCCTCCCCCCCCCCCCTCCCCTCTACCCCACCCCCCCTTTCCCGTAACCCGAGGTTCTCGCGTGCCAACTGTCGAAACTGAAATTTGGCAAAGGCAATATCTGAGCTGGCACGAGGGGGGCCTCCATTGGCCAGAAATACAGTATCGTTATTGCCTGCCGACGATAATATCAATACACCAGGGTTTGCAAAACTGGTACACTGATCCTACAGGGTATAATTTTCAAAAACTAGGAAAACCCTGATGGATCAGGGTTTGAACAAGTTGTCACACTGATAATCAGGTTTTTGGACTTGTGCAACACTGATCACAAGGGTTGCTGAAAACCAAAAATTAGCCCTGGCCCCGATAGGAAGGAACTCTCAAAATGGTCGACTAATTGTTGGAGATGTTTCCACAAAGAGAGAGTCTGTCAAATGGCAAAAGTACTTGTAAATCACGTTCCACAGCTGCTCCTCCTCTATAGGCTTTGACAAAAAGCCGTTCATGCCGGACTCGATGCACTTCTCCCGAGTCCCCGCAAAGATGTCCGCTGTAAGTGCAAATATCGGAGTCTGTGAGAGCCTGTACTTCGCTTCTTGCCTGCGAATTTCCCTTGTGGCTTCGAATCCGTCCATACCCGGCATCTGGACGCAGTGAGGGCAGAAAGAAACGTGGATTTGTGAGGTGGGGGGGACAAGCATACAGAAACTAGCAGCAATGTGCTGCCCAGGCTGCAGCCCCAGCGGTGCAGCGGGCATGCAAAGGGGGCGGAGAGCTGACCTGGACGTCCATGAGGATGCAGTGGAAGGCGTGGCCTGGCACCACCTTGGCCACGGCCACGGCACCCCCCACGACTGGCACCACGTGCACCTTGTAGCGCTCCAGCATCTTGGCTATCACCTTGCGGTTCACCATGTTGTCGTCCACCTGCACACCCACACCACACCACACCACACCACACACCACACCACCCCACCCACACCCACACCCACACCCACACCCACACCCACACCCACACCCACACCCACACCCACACCCACACCCACACCCACACCACACACCACACCACGCCACACCACACCACACACCACATCACACATACAGGGCAGTAGCGCACTCAACCCAGTGCCACTGGTGCTAGGGCCTTACATGTCCAAGCAGCTGCAATGAGTTCAACAGAAACTCACCACCAGAAAGTGCTTGCCATGCAGCACTGTAGTGAGCATCTGAGTCAGCGACTGTGGGGCACCCTCACCCACCCTCCTCGCCCTGGGACTCGCCAACGTCGCACTGCTGCCACCCCGGCCTTCCACCGCCACTCTCCTCTCGCCACCACTCCTCTCTCCTGCCTCCACCTGCTTCAGACGCATCTCCTTGTTTCCGCTCCTTCCCGTGAGCGTGACAAGGGAGAAAGCCATGTCTGACTCCACAGATGCTCCTCCATCCACTCTCTCTGCTTCGCCTGCACCTGCCCCACAGGCATCCTCTGCCCCACAGGCATCCTCTGCCCCGTTGTCCACCACAACCACGTACTCGTGCTCCCCACCCGTCACGCCCCTGAAATCCTCAGGACTTGACACTTGTGTCCCTCTCCTTCCTTCAGATCCTCCTTCCCCTCGCCTACCCAAGGTGCCCTGCCCTCCCTCTGCGCCCTCTGCACTGCTGCTGCTGCCCCCGCCGCTGCTGTGCTTGGCGGCCTGCAGCAGCGCGCCCACGAGGGCGGCGCGGCGGATGGGTTTGAGCAGCGTGGCGTGGAAGCCCGCCTGGGCGGCCAGGCTCTCCATGCTCGGCTCGCGCACCAGCAGCACCATGCGCCATGCACCCATGCCCATGCCCACGCCCATGCCCATGCCCATGCCCGTGCCCATGCCCATGCCCGTGCCCATGCCCATACCCGTGCTCAACTTCAACCCCGTTCCCGTGCCAGTGCCTGCATCCGTGCCTGTGCCTGCATCTGTGCCTAACTCCGTGTCTGTGCCTGTGCCCCTGGAGGCTGCACTGGCTGGGCCACTACTCCCACCACCCCCCACTGCATCACGGTGCTCCTCATCAGCCATCTCACTCCGTCCACTTCCCTGCTGCAATGACGGCACAGGAAGTGGATGCTTCACATGTTGCTGCTGCTGCTCTTTCTCCTGCTCTTGCTGCTGTAGCTGCTGTGACTGCCACTGTGAACTCAGTAGCTTCTTCTCATGTGCTTCTTGCTGCTGTTGTCGCTGTTCCCCCAACCGCTGTTGCTGCTGTGGCTGCTCCCCCCCTCCTTGCTCTTGTTGCTGCTGTTCCTCCACTCCTCCCGGCTGTTGCTGCTGTCGGCTGGTCCAGAAGGCAGCAGCAGTGGCCGTGGCAGCAGCGCTCGTCAGCACGCCGCTGCCTCCCCCGCCGCCACCTCCCATGGCGTCACTGCCAGCGCCACTGCTGCCGTCGGGGCTCTCCACGCTGCCAGCAGGGGTGGGGGGGGTGGCAGAAGCGAGTGTGCCGAGGGGGGGTGTGGCAGCCCTGTCAGAGGCTGCCGGGGGGGCGCACAACTGTGGCGACGCATCCCCTGCCCTCCACGGAGACGACGGGTGGACGGGTGTCCTCTCGCCGCCTGCGCTCACAATGGGCGCTGCGCACTCCCCTCCACCTGCCCCATCACGCCCCACACCTGCCCCTGCCTCTGCATCTGCCTCCGCCCCTGCAACATCACCCCCCGCCCCATCACCATCCCTGCCCGTGCCCAAGCCTGCCATTCCCACCCTAGGCTCGCCCCCCTCGCCCCGCCCGCCCTCGTGCGTGCGTGCAGGTGGCGTGGGCAGCGAGTGGCGCCAGGCGCGGGCATGGCGGGCGAGCGTCTCCGCGTCCACCAGCAGGAAGGCGCTGCCCGCTGGGGGCCCCGCCCCGCCGCCACCCGCACTGCCTGCTGCTGTGCTCGCTGCGCCTGCCATGACTCCTGCGGCAGCAGTTGGCCCGGCACCTGAGAGGGGAGTGACACCACTCTCATGCCCCGCCAGCGATGCTGCTGCCACGATGCCTGCTGCCACACCTGGCAGTGCTGGGGACACCACGCCCACCCCTGCCAGTGGGCCCGGGGAGGCTGGGGTAGCTTGGGGGGGAGTGGCAGGAGCAGGCGGGGCAGGAGGGGAGGGTGGTAGCGGCAGGGCGGGGAGTGGGGGGGGGTCCTCCCAGCGGCGTGCGAGGAGCACGTTGAGCCTGAGGCGGCGCAGATACGTGGCTGTGACGGCGCGCCTCACAGGCCGGTCGTCCAGCACCACCGCTGTGCACCCCTGTGCAGCAGGTGAGCAGGAGGGGTGGGCATGCATGGAGGGACAGTGAATGCATACAGTGAATGCACGAGACACAGTGAATGCATGGAGACACGGTACTTGCACTCGCTGCGAGGCAGACTGTCACTCCTGTGACCCGTGCCCACTGATATGGGCTGCCACCACCGAATAAGATCCTCACGCTGACACAAGAGGCAGCCTCGCACGCACCTGAAGGTCAGAGACTCGAGAGGCAAGTGCGGGGGCACTTCTCCTCTTGCCGGCGGCAGCAGGGGCAGCAGCGGCGGGGGCGTCATGGGAGGGGTGTGGGGGGTTGTCAAAGGGCAGCGTCATGTCAAAGAAGAAGGTCGTGCCCACGCCCGGGCGGCTCACAAACGCCAGCTTGCCGCCCATCAGCGCCACGAGGTGCTGCGAGATGGAGAGGCCGATGCCCGTGCCGCCGTGTGTGCGCGTGGTGCTGATGTCCGCCTGCACATACGGCCGAAACAGACGAGGCTGCGCCGCCCACGGTATGCCCTGCCCCGTGTCCTGCCAGCATGCAGCGGGGTGGTGAGAGCGGAGGCAATCACAGAAGCTTCAGTCAGATTGCCCTGGTCAAGTCAAAGCTGATCCTGTGCATGCCAGTGTCTGTGAGACGATAAAAAACTCACTGATTGACCAGTGGTTTGTGATGCCATTGCATCACAAACCACTGATTGACTCCTTGGCACTGGACACCACCGGTTCATGTCACAGCCAGCAGTGCGCTGCTCACCTCAACGGACACCACCAGCCGCACCATCCCACTCTGTGCTTCACCTCCCCCGTGCTCCCCTGCCCTGCCCGCAGCCCCACCATTGCTGTGCGGCGCAGCAGGCGTGCACTGCAGGTGGCCGGGGGGCGGGCCTGCCTGGGGGGGCCGCTCCATGAGCGCGTGGATGCGCGCCCAGCTGTTGCAGCTCTCCACCGCCTCCACTCCACTCAGCGTCTCAAACTCCCCCGGCCTACCCCTCCGCCCCTGCCCCTGCCCCTGCCCCTGCCCCTGCCCCTGCCCCTGCCCCTGCCCCTGCCCCTGCCCCTGCCCCTGCCCCTGCCCCATCTCTTTGCCTTGCGCCTGCCCCGTTTGCACCGGCCCCTGCCTCTGCCCATCACTGCCTGTCTCTGCGCTCATCTGAAACCCCCCCTCCCCCTCCCCCTCCGCCTCGACTCGAGCCCGCGTGACAGCGGAGGAGCCCCCATCAGTTATCTCCCCTGTGCCCGTCTCACCGGAATACTCCTCCTTTTTCCCATGTATCTCTCCCTCCCATGCATCTGAGTCACCTCCATGCAATCTGCAGGTTTCCTCTCCGCCCTCCCCTCGCCTGCCATTTGCCAGTTCTGTTGTTCCAGGCGCTCCACCACTCGCTGCCCCAGCACCCGCGCTCACTTCTCCCCGTGCACCACCTGCATGCGCCACGACGGACTTGCCAGCACCACCAGCAGCAGCAGGCGCAGACATCACTGCACTTGCGGAAGCACCTCCAGCAGGGGCAGGGGTGGAGCTCCACCCGCCTCCTGCTGCACCCGCACCATCAGCACCGGGCGTGTTAGTGACTGCAGCAGCGCTGGTGCTGGGAGCAGCGCGGTCGGAGTCGGCAAGGGAGGTGCGGGCGAGGGAGCGGGCGTCGGCAAAGTGGGCGCCGGGGACGGCGAGGTCGTCATGGGGGGCGGCGGTGCGCACGGTGATGAGCACGTGGCCGCGGGCCGTGAACTTGCAGCTGTTGGACAGCAGGTTGATCAGCACCTGCCGCAGCCGCAGCGCGTCGCCCAGCACAAACGTGGGCACGGCGTCGTGCACGAGTGCCGCCACCTCGACCTGCGGCTTGTTGCGCGTGCGCTCCACAAACATGCTGAGCACGTCGTCTATCTCCGCCCTCACGTCCACCCTCATGCTCTCCAGCTCCATCCGCCCCGCCTGCCCTCAACCCCACGTGCACGCGCCCACCACACACGCCCATGGAGGGAGGGAAGGGGGGGAGACGGAGCATGATAGCGCAGGGAAGGAACCATTGGAGCAGGAATTGAGATACAGGGAGGAGAGCAACTCGATCTTGATGGATGAATACAGCCACTCGGTTCGGTGGTGGTGTCATTCTGTGCCGAATTGATGGCATGCTGTGTGCAGGTGTGAGTTAGGGAAGCATTGCAAGTGCGTGCGGTGCAGTGCGGAGCACGTGGGTGTGGAGTGAGAGGGGCATGTGGGTGTGGGGTGCGGGAGTGCGGGGCCAGCGCACCTCGATCTTGGAGAGGTCGAGGATGTCGTTGATGAGGGAGCAGAGCGCCCTGCCGCTGGTGCGCGCCGTCTCCACGTAGTCCAGCTGCACCGCGTCCAGCGGCGTCTGCAGCAGCAGGTTCAGCATGCCTGTCAACCATGCCCAAAAGGGAAAGAGGGGGGAGAGGGGAAGGGAAGGGAAGGTGGGGAAGGGAAAAAACGGAAGCATCAAGGAACCATCATTTGATTACACATCATAGGTTGCAAACATGCAGCCATGCGTGTATGCATGCAGTGACCCATGGATTTCGGGTTTAGGGTTGCTTTCAGTGACCCATATGTGCGCCTCGGAGGCAGCGTGGGCACAGCACAGCATAGCACAGAACAGCGCAGCAGAGCAGAGCAGGGGACAACAGAGCGTCGCAGAGCGCACGCACCGATGACGCCGTTCATGGGAGTGCGGATCTCGTGGCTCATGGTGGCGAGGAAGGTGCCCTTGGCGCGGCTGGCGGCCTCCGCAGCCACCTTGGCGGCGCGCATCTGCTCCTTGAGCGCCACCATGCGCTGCAGGTCGCCCTCCACGCGCACCACCTCGTACGCCACCACGTACACCACCGCCACCACCAGCGCCGCCCCCGCCACCGCCACACACGGCCACACCACCGCCATGTAGGGGAACGGCCGTGACTGGTACCTGCGCCCACGGACACGCAGGGGACACACGGGACACAGACCATGGGGCAAGGTGCAGGGAGGGGGGAAGAGGGGCAGAATGATTATGAAAAACAGGAGGGGGGAAGGAAGGGGCGCGGAGGGGATGTTGCAGGTGTGAGGAAGAGAAAGAGAGGGAGGCAGAGGTAAAGAGCAGAGAGCGGAGCGGAGCAAGGCAGAGCAGGGTGCGGGGCGGTGGTACCTGCAGGCGAGGGTATACTGGCGACCCACTGCAGGGAGAGGCACGGCGTGTGCTGCAGGGAAGGACGAGGGCGCCTCAGGCACGGCGGGGGGCTGCAGCGGGGGATACTGGGCGAGGACCAGCGTGGTGGTGGGGGCCGTGGTGTCCTGCAACTGCAGCTGCAGCGCCGCTGACCCACAGCTGCTGCTGCTGCTGGATGGCGCCTGCAAGGGAGGAGGGGGAGAGGGGGGGAGGGAGGTGGAGAGGAGCAGGAGGGGGGCAGCACACGGATGATGATGTGGGGGATGTGATGTGAAGTGCAAGTTACAGCAGCTCAGCTAAACTGCCATGTTGAGACAAGAGGAGCGGTGGGAGCACGTGTGAGTGGAGGCATGGCATGAGGCGGGGATGGAAGTACCTGAGAGAGCTGAGAGAGAGCGAGCTGCATGTCAGCCACTGCAAACGCGAATCCTATCACTGCTGCCTGCATCTCGTCTGAAGTGGCATTGGGCGGCACGGCTCGTCCATACACGGGCACTGATGCCACCACTGCTCTCTGCTGCTGCTCCACTGGCGACTCAGCTGCTGCTGCTTCTGCTGCTGCTGTTGCCAACGATGAGGAGAAAATTGTATTGGCAGGGAACGACCTCGACTGGTTGCTGCTGCCGCTGCTGGTGGTCGAAGAGGAGGAGGGGGTGATGGCGGTGGGTGAGGGGGCCGAGGTGGGCGCGGAGGTGGAGTTGTCAGGGAAGGGGAAGAGAGGGGCGAAGGGTGGGGAGAGGGTGCAGGGCAGGCTGGCAGAGAGGGCGGAGAGCGCTGAGAGGGCAACAGCGGGGCCGAGCTGGGGGACTGTGCGAAAGAGGGGGGAGGGGGGTTGGGCATCCGCAGGGGAGTAGGAGGGTAAAAGGAAGGGAGCTGACTTGTGGCGTGCAGGGCTGTGCTTCAACAAATGTGCAATGCTGGTGCTGACTATGGGAAAGGCATTTCGTTGAAGCTCGTGGCGAGTCGTGTGTGTATGTGCTGTGGCATGAGTGGCTGGCAGGCAATAGCACAGACAAGACTAGGTTCAAACTGATGAGATGTGGTAGCTTCTGGGTATAGTAGCAACAACCACACCAGCAGACACGTCTAGGAATCACAGCACACACTCCCCCACCCACCCTTTCCCCCCCCTCTTCACCACACACACCAGAAAGCATGTCCAGTCCCACATATGCCGCCCCCACGCCACTTGTGCTGCTGTTGGGGGTGGCGAGGTGGGAGAGGATGGTGGCGAGGGTGGGCGAGTAGTGGAGCAGCGGCAGGTAGTGCTGCTGCTGAGGCGCGCACTCTCCACTCACATTCCTGAACGTGTGCATGCATGCAGGGAGGACAGCAAACAGAGTGCAGAGGGGAGGCGGTGGGTGAGCATGGGGCGGAGGGTGGGGAGTGGTGTGCACGTGGACGGTTGGGCAGCACGGAGCTACTGAGGAGAGGCGACAAGGCGAGGAGGGAGAGAATGTGAGGGGAGGGGAGAATGTGAAGAGAAGAGAGAATGCGAAAGGGGGGGGGGACTGAGGGGTGGAGGGGAATGTGACTTGAGGGAGGAGGAGAGAATGTGAGGGGTGGTGACTGTAAGGGTTACATAAATCAAGTGCGAGATGATGTGGCACGAGGGAACAAGCATGGCATGGGGTTGGGCATGAGAGGGGGCCGCGCACGCACCAGATGCAGGTGGCATTGAGGAAGCTGTTCTGGATGGCGGCGCGCGAGGAGTGGTTGAGGGAGAGCGCGTACCCCATGGCGCTCGCCCCCTGCCCCCACCCACTCGCCCCCGCCTCTGCTGCAGCGGCGCGAGGGGGCGGGGGAGGGAAGGCGAGCAGCGGGCGCGTGTAATCCGTGGAGGCCACCAGGCGCATGAACGCCGCCTGCACCGCTCCCCGCATCCAGGGGCAAGCAGGAGGGGAGAGTGGTCGCGCCGATGAGCAATCAGCGACGAACAACGAGCAACGAGCGAACAAGCAGTTGAGCAACGAGCAAGCAGCAACGAGCAACGAGCAATCGAGGTAGGAAGGCGCTGCCACACTAGCTGCTGCAACAGCAAATGACGGGAGCCTCTCTCCATGTAACGAGGCGCTCCAAGTCCAATGCAGTGGCAGCACATGGCGCCATGCGTACCTACCTGGTCCACTGCCGCGTGCAGCACTGTGAGCGTGTCTCCCAGCTCGCGCACCCCCCCCAGCGATGCTTGCAGTGCACTGCCCAACTCGTGCGCCCACAGCGCACACTGCGATGACAGCGATGCCTGCATGGCGTGCAGTGCAATGCACGTGCAATGGACACCGCATCACACACAGCAGCACCGCATCACACACATCACATCACACACAGAAACACACACCGCATCACGCAAGGCAACACCGCATCCACAAAGTGTTAGAATCATGTGCAACAGAGACAGACACGGCACATCACAATGCAATCCACAGTGTCACAATACTGCATTGCTGAAACCACCACCATCGCACTTTCTCCCAACATCGACCAAACCCCTTTCTCCCAACCCCTTCATGCCCCAACCTTGTTGGCCAGCCCCCTCGGACGGAGCCCGTGCGCGCAGTGACGGCACCTGGTAGGAGGCGAGGTGGAGGAAGTACACCAGGCAGAACAGCCCCGCCGCCACCGCTGCGCACAGCGCCGACGCGCACACCAGCACCGCGCGCCGCCGAGCCACCAGAAACGCCAGTGTCGGCGTCACAAACGGACACGCGCTCCGCGACGCCTGGTCGCCCTCTTTGTCGGCTCCCCCCAACCCCGCACCTCCGCCGCCCCCATCCACTGCTCCGCTGCCACCGCCTCCGCTGGCCGTCCGCGGCACCAGCGGGGCATCCGCCATGCTGCCCGGCGGTCGCTTGGGCTCGGGGGACCGGCGGAGCGCCGAGAGCTTCACATAGTGGCGCCTCTTAAATCCCGTGGCCTTGACACGAAGCGGCTCCGTCTCAGTATCCATCGACTCTCGTCACGCTACCACTTCCCATCGACATCCGTCACGCATCGGCTATGGACATCCGTCACGCATCGGCTATGGACATCCGTCCAGGTCTGTACAGCGCAGACCCGGACACGGCTATCGCACGCTGCCGCTGCCTGACGCGCGACGAGAGAGGCAAAGAGAGAGCAAGGCGGGAAAGAGAAAGACGAGAAAGGTAGAGGAGGTTGTAGGGGTTGAGGCGGGGGGGTGGGAGGAGAGTGCGCAAGCACCATCGAACGGAAGCGAGCGCCGTGGAAAGAACGCGGCGGAATGGAGGGCAGGCTGAGTTGCTGTTGTGGCGGTACGGATATGTATCGTGGTGCTGACCTTGGTGTTGTCGCCTTTGTCAGCAGCACCAGCACGTGGAAACGTGGAAATAGGTTCCAAACCTTTCTAATAATGCACCACACACTATCCCTTCGTACCGAACTTGCCACTAAGCAGCAGTTGGATGGAACCAGTGGGACAGGAAGGAGAGGGAGAGGGGAGGATGGGGATGTGAATCGCGATTCAACGCCCAGCGGAAGCGAAAAGTATCTCATCATCATCACGTCACTCGTGGCCACGTGATTCCGATCCCAACCCTCGGGTCACACGGTGGACGCTCACCGTCGTCCGATTCAATCACGATTTGGAGGGGTGAGTTTTGGACGGCTGAAGCGGTTGAGTACGATTCTGTTGCACTCTAGAGAGGTTTCTCGCGCCAACGCGAATATTTATCGGTGACACACATCACCCAATCCAATCCGTACCTCCAAACCAAATGCATGCAACAGGCAGACAGCAAAGCAACCCAGCCCGCCTGAACAGCAGCGGGCCTCAGAGTCATAGCCCTAGTTTTCCTGCCTGCACGGATATGAGTCACCCTCGCACCTCTTTCCACATCCTCGCCTCGCAACACCCCATGGCGCGCACCTCGTTTCACACGTGCCGTTCCTTCCTCTCGTCGCCTGCGCCGTACAGTCGCGTGGATGGCTGCGGCATCCGCCGTGCTGCTAGGTGAGGTACCGCCGAGCACCGTCAGCGCGCCGAGCAGCGCGGAGACAGAGCGCGCCGAGCTCCGCGACCTCATGTCGTCCCCCGCTCGGCCACCGCACGACTCCTTTCCGCCTGTCGGCGCGGAAAATCCGCCTGCATTGCGCGTGCCGTGTGCGCAGGAGCTGCAGGAGCGGCAGGAGGCGCAGGAGCGGCTGGAGGCGTTGTGGCAGGAGGTGGAGGAGAGCGACAGCACGCGCAGCCTGCGGTCGCCCAGCGATGCGTCGCCCGCTGCGACCTCGTCGGCCAGACGCCACGCCAGCAGTAGCTTCGCCAACCGTCGCGTTCGCTCGCTGTGGTCGCCGCTCTCGTCGCCGCAGCACACGCGCAGCGCGCGTCACACGCGGCAATGGTCCGCGGCGGCCGTGCCATTCTCCTTCTCCTTCTCCTCCCCGCTCCACCCCTCCGCGCTTCCTGCGGACGCCCAGTCGTCGCCGCAGCATCCGCTCACCCCCACGGCGGACGGCAAGGCGCAGGCGCACGGGGACGGGGAGGAGCGAGCGGAAGCGGAGCGAGCGGCGGGGCACAAGCCGTCCAAGTCGGCGGGGTCGCTGCCGTTCCTCCAGCTGGGGCAGTGGTCGCGCTCCTCCCCCAACCTCCGCTCCCCCATCAGCCCCCCCGCCGCTCCCACCTCCCCGTCGGATACCGCCTGGTCGCTTCCCGCCTTCGCCAAGTCGGTAACCCTACGCTCTTCGCCAAGGGCCACCACTTCGCCCAGAGCCGCCGCAGCGTGGGTGGAGCGCGCTGTATCGGTGACGAGCGCCGAGGCGCCGGGTATTCTGGAAAGCCGCACCTTCGACCCAATCGCGTCGCCCCTCGCCGCCGCCCCGCCTGCGCCGCTCTCTGATGCGCGCAGGTCGGCGGAAGCGGAGGTTGCGGGTGGCGGTAGGAGCAGCCCGTTGCGGGGCGGCGGATGGCGCAAGCCCGCGGCGGGCGGGAGGCGCAGCGAGGGCGGAAGAGAGCCGACAGTGACCGCTGAGATGGGGGAGGGCGCGGGGGAGAGGGCGAGTGCAGGGGAGGAGGACAAGGGGTGGGCGTCCGGCAGTGGGCGGGGCAACAGATGGCGCACCAAGGCAGCGTTGCCGCAGCTGAATGTGCGCCGCAACTCCGTGGACAGCCCACAGCCCAGCCCGCAGCCCAGCCCGCAGCAGAGCGCACAGCAGCAGCAGGCGCTCAAAGTGCTGCACCAGCGACGCCCGCCCCTGTCGCCCTCCACCTCCCCACACGCCTCCCCCAAACCCTCCCCGACCGCCTCTTCTACCGACCCCGCAGCAGCAGCATCCGCCAAGTCGCTCCTGCGGTCGCCGCGCTCCCCCTGTGCCGCAGCAGCAGCAGCCGCGTCGCCGCGGTCGCAGGTGGTGGTGGTGCGGAGCTTCGTGGAGCACCGCAGGCGAGTGGCGGAGGCGGAACAGAGAGAGGCGGCGGAGCTGGGGGAGGCGGCGGTGGCAGGGCGCGCGGACCCGGGGAACGAGGGGCAGGAGGGCAGGCGGGGAGGCGTGAGTTGGAATGGGGCAGTGCAGAGCTCGGACGCGGCGGCAGCAGCAGGGGGTGCAGTGGGGGAGGTAGAAAGGGGTTCAGAGATCCAGCAGGGGAGTGGCAGGGTCGCGGAAAGGTTGGCGCCTGGCGTGTCGGGCACAGCGGGCATGCAGCGCGGGGAAGAACGGATGGACGTGGGCATGACACAGGCCGGCGTCGTGGACGATCCACAGTGCACGGCCGGCGGGCACATGCACGGTGGGGGTGAGGGCGAGCAGGTGCGCGTGCAGGCGGCGGTGGGAGGTGGCAGTCCGCCAGCGAGCAGGGCGGGTGGGAGAGGGGTAGGCGGGCACGGGGAGCGAGGCAGGGAGGATGAGCAGGTCAGAGCGGTTTTAAGTGCGAGGCAGCAGCAGCGAGCGCAGTGGCTGCAGCAGCAGGAGTGGCAAGAGCAGGAGGGGAGGCAGCGAAGCAGATCCAAGGAAGGTGCGACGGTGCAGTGGGCTCCCCTCCCCACCACCACCCACTCCCCTCCCGTTCCCCGCCAAGCTTCCGCCCCTCCCCGCCCCATGCTTCCCCTCCACTCCGATGCTCCTCTCTCCCCCCACCGCCCTCTCACGGCCTCGCCCTGCCCTGCGCCCTGGGACCTCTACCCTGCATCCCAGCAGGCGTGGCTCACAGCGGATGATGGCACGGCGGGGCACAGGCAGGCGAAGGAGGCGACGCAAGAGAGGCGGGGAGAGGGTTACCATGGTGATGATACAGGCGGCGCGCATGCCATGTCTGCCAGCTACCACAGCCACTCCTCTCCGCCGTCCAAGCCACCTCAAAGCCCCCGACCTGCTCTGAGCCCCAAGCCACGCTCACACGCACCGCGCAGCTCTGTGAGCCTTGGCAGCCTTGGGTCCCCTCGGGGCAGTGCCCCGCCCCACAGCCTTGACCCCGCCCATCGCCCTGCTGCCAGCCCCTCCCAACCCCTCCGCTCCAACCCCTTGGTCCCTCCACTCTCTCTCTCGCCGCCCCTCGCCCCTTGCCACTCGCAACACAGCCCCCTGAACAGCCCCCTGGGCAGCACTTTGAGCAGCCCGCGCGGTGCTGTGAGTAGCAGCAACTCGGCACGCACCCGACCGACCCTGCCCAGTCCCCCCTCCCAGCTGTCACCGCGTGGCAACCACATGCCGCCGCCCGCTGTGCTCTCTTCCCCTATTGGGAACTGTGAGCAGCAGCAGACAGCGCGTGGCAGTCAGGGTGTGGCACCGCTGCTGTCAGTGGGCAGCAGCCAGCACACGCCATGCAGCCCGCGGGCGCCCAGCAGCCCTGCCCCCTCTCCCGGCCCACGCTCACAAAGCAGGCATGTGAAGAGTGGCAGCATAGACAGCATGAGCGCAGCGCTGAGTTCCCCCCGCAGCCCACTTGGCAGCCGAGCACCTGATGCCTCGGCCTTGCATGCACCGGGAGGCCCAGGGAGCAGGGCGCTCGCCCCGGGGCAATCATCCTCGCGCTCTCCCAAGCACTTCAGCAGCTGCCATGCTGCCATTGGCCCAACCAATGGGGGAAGAGCTGGGGTTGGTCAGAGTGGCAGTGGGACAAGCAGTGGTGCCATAGTTGGGACAGCAAATCATGGCAGTGGTGGTGGTGGGCAGCAGGCAGAGGGGCGTGATGGTGGGAGTGGGGCAGTGGAGCGGAGTGTCAGCGAGCAGCACCACACCCACCACATGCGCCCTACTGCAACCACCCTGTCGCCTCAGTCAGACGTGCCTGAGGCCATAAAGAGGCGCCACACGTATGCTTCCACCCCGACCCTTGCCATCCCTCTGCCCCTGCCCAAGCCTGGCCCCAACGGCTGCCCTCCCCCTCTTAGCCCCACGCTGAGCAGGGCAGCAGGCAGCAGCAAGGGAAGCAGGAAAGGGGACGGGAGACAGGGGGGGCAGAGGGGAACTGGTGTGGGCAAAGCGGAGGGCGCTGTTGACGTTGTTACGGCTGCTGCAGCTGCTGTTGCTGTTCCCAGTGAAGAGCAGAGGGTGGAAGGGGCGGCGGATGCCAAACGCAGGTGAGAGCAGGGGTCTGGTCTGGTGCTTGCCCTTGTCACCATCGCCTTTGCTACCTGTCATCAGTATGCCCACGTTCATTCCATCAGGGCATGCTTGGTGCATGGATGGTCATCACTGAGTCGTGACTCTCCTCGTGTGTGTGTGAGCAGGTTTCGAAGAGAGCTGTCCTTAAGTGGGTACTTGAGCAGCGGGTAGGCTTGACGTGCACCAACGCATGCCAAGGCACCCTCCCACTAGGATTTGCTCGTAGTAGGTAGGCTGCTCTGGGACTGCCAGGCACAGCATGACTTGTTAGTTAGCACCTCTAGTAGAGGCGAGGCCACTGGCCAATGTGAAGGCGATGCATTTGTAAAACTTATAGTGTGTGTTGGCACTTCAACAAGGGCTCTGCAAGGGACATGTAAAGGGTTAGCTAGCTCACATCTTGTTTCAACATCCCCATACACCGAGAGCTTGCATTTTTTCTTGTTCCGTCACACCTGCAGTGACTTGCGGCGGATGCCAATAGGTACCGTACATTGCCCTCATTCATTCTGAAGCTCCTGATGGAGCGTGCACATGCAAGCAACTGCATCCACAAGTACCAACACATGTGAATGCATTGTGGTATTACATGCTGCTGCCAGTTGCGTTTGACTCACGCCTGATGATGCCAGCAGCAAACACGTGTGGCACTAGTGGTGTGGGGGTGCCTGCCTGAGCAGCCCCAGTTCATTGCCTATGAGTCGGAATATGATGGCACACAGGTTGGACAGGTCTGCATCTCTGCACCAGCCATACAGGGGGGCATGGGAAACGTGACAGGGGGAAACAATCGTCAAAAGGGAGCATGGGAGCATGGGAGTATGGAAACATGGGAACATGGGAGCATGGGAGCATGGGAATGGGTATGGGAGCATTAGAATGGGTATGGGAGCATGGAAACGCGTACGAACAATTAGGAGCATGAGGAAAGGGTTCGGGTAACATGGGAGTGGTGGGTGGAGCATAGGTGAAGCAGAAAAGCAGCATGAGCACAGGAGATATTGCTGCAGCTGCCAATTACATGCATATACAGGGGGTTCTGTGAGGTTTTTGAGTTGAAGTGGGGGGAAAGGGGAAGGGGGACGGGGGGGTGTGGAAAGTGTACCGGAGGAAGACGAGGTCGCAGAGGGGCGAGTAGAGCAGCAGCAGGTGCGCTCGCTGCCACCCCAGCTGCCGCCCCTCGCTGTCCACAAACCGCCGCGCTGCACTGTCCCGCTCCCACGGCCGCTCCAGCTCACCCCTCGTGAGCGTGTCCCCGGCTGCTGCTGCCTGCGCTGTGCCGTGCGCCTCCGCACTGGCCTTGGGCGCGATGGGCACGTCCACGGCCGCAGCGACGAGGGGGTGCAGCACGAGGCGCACCAACTCCTGCAGCAGCAGCAGCATCTCCGCCAGCCGCACTGCCGGCATGGCTGCTGACCCTGCCCACCCACACCCGGGGACAAGGCACAAGGGGCAGGCAGAGAGAATATGGTCGAGAAGGCAGCGCAGAGGGAGAGGTGGCAATGGGAGGCAGTGAGGAAATGCAGAGGCGCATCCGAGCAGAGACGCAGATCAGGAAAGTCCGGAAATATGCTTGCAACCCCGTGTGCTACTCGTGTGCGGCGATCAAGTGGTGAAGAAGGTGTGTGTGCGGCGCCCACCTGCTTGCAGGGAGTCTTTAGTGAAGCGGTGCAGGATGGCATGGCAGCGCGCCACGAGGCGAGGCAGCACCAGCCGCCCCACCGCCACCGACGACGATGCCAGCGTGTCCTCTGGGCGGCCTTGCCTGGCCCACATGCATGCAGGAGCCACGTGGGGGACGATCGGTGGGGGGAGGGCACGTGCCACAACATCAGTTGAGGGGTGAACGCAGCATGAGATATGTGCACATTGTGAGGGATACCATGAGATGCATCCAGAGAGATGCAGAGAGTTGCGTGCACTGAGAGCAAGGGCCTGTGTTCAGTGCATTGAGGGAGATGCCATGAGTTGAGAACATTGGCAGCCAAATAAGGGGTGATGTTGAGCAACGAGGCGGAGTGGCGCCCACCCTGCGAGCATGAAGAGGCGGGAGAGGCAGGCGAGGGAGAAGCGCGCGCAGTGGGTTGGCAGCGCGGCAGCAGCAGCCAGGGGCAGAGCGCTGGTGCGTGCAGCACACGCATCCAGCACTGCCACCAGCCGCTCCCTCTCCTGCACGGTTGAGAACGGTTAAGTGGGAGACAGAGCAGCAGAGGTGCAGGGGTGTTGTTGCTTGTGGAGAAGATGCGAAGAGATGGAAGGTGGAGAGAGAAGGAAGGTGGAGAGAGAAGGATGACAGGGAAATGGTGCATTGACAGATGGAATGACTTTGCTTGATGGATACACACCTGATCAAGCAGTGCAGTGCAAGGGTACCTTGTGGGGGGCGTCATAGCAGTGGGTACCTTGTGGGGGGCGTCATAGCAGTGGGTGAGCACGCGGGTGCAGAGGGTGTCAAGGAAGAGCGCCTCAAGCATTTCATCCGCCTCCACCACCTCACGAGTCAGCAGCTCCGACACACCCCGTGTCGACCCCGCCTCCCCCGCCCACCCACTGCTGCCCATGCCTCCTCCGCCCCTCCCCTCGCTGCCTGTGCCCCATTCGCTAAGTTCTGCCTCCCCCGCCCCTCTCCCAGCAGGCACCGCTGCTCCCCCCGCCCCTGGGGCCCGCCCTGCCGCGCTGCCACCGCCACTGCCAGGGGCGGCTCTTCTCCGGGGACTCCCCCCTGCGCCCTCCCCTCCCCCCACTCTGGGGGAGCGTCGGGGGGAATGGCCTGGGGGTGGTGCTGGTGAGGGCTGGGGAGATGGGAGGGGGAGTTCTGGGAGCAGGGCGGTGCCGCATGTGCCCAGCACGAACTGCTCCACCACCGCTGCCAGCTCCTGCCACATGCGCTGCCGTGCTCTCCCCCCCTCACTGCTGCCGCCCACTGCACCGTTGCCCTCCTTGGCAACTTCCTTATGTGCCTCATGCTGGTGCTTGGTGTGGTGGTGCGTGGAAGAGGCATGCATGGGTGAGGATGGGTGTGCAGGAGACTGAGGGTCGGAAGGAGAGAGATGATTGGCGTGTGTTGTGAGAGGGGGGTCAGGCGGGAGGGCGTGTTTGAGGATGTCTGAGAGCGTCGCCACGGCCGTGCGCCACAGCTGAAGGTCGGGCGAGGTGCGGCGGATGAGCATACACCTGTTGCGTGCAAGGGTGCAGCGGGGAGAACATGGTGGGGAGAAGCACGTGGTAAGCAATAGGAGTGGAGACGAATGAAACAAATGGATAAGCAGAGACGAAATTCGTGCATCCATTCCAATGATTGTCAAGCGGAAGCTGTGGCGGACAGGCGGATGAAACCGTGAGACATTCCCACTTCCACCGCCCAATGGCGTCCACCCCTTGCTGCACGCGCACCCACATCACCTGCCGAGAGCAGCAACAAGGTCGGGCAGGACGGTGTCTCTGGCCTCGGGGGGCGCGTTGAGGAAGAGCTCGAGCAGCAGCGCCACCACACGGTCCTGTAGAGCGGGTGACAGGGCGCCGGGCGCCGTGACGGGGTAGCTGAGCATGAACGACCCCGTGGGGTTGCCTGACGTCGGCACGTACACCGCTGCTGGCGCAAACAGCTGCACCTTGCCGCCCAGCGATAGGCCGAATGATGTCGTCCGGCTGCTACTGCCGTTGCTGGCAGCTTGTGTGGCGCCTTCATCGTCCCCTTCTCGACCAACGATTCCCTCGCTGCCTGCTCCGCCCGAATCCCCACCATCGTCTCCTCCTCCCCCTCCTCTCCCTTCACCAGCACCGCTGCCCTTCCCTGTGCAGTCCACACCCCCTGCAACGCCACCCAGGGAAACCTTTGGGGCGTGGCGTTGCGTGGCCTCGGACAGGAAGCGCGGCGGCACGCGGCAGTGCGGGCAGAGCAGGCGGTCCCCACCAGGCAGGTACGCCAGCAGCTGCTGCAGCAGTGCGGGCCACAGATGTGCGTGCGCTGAGGGCTGCAGGCGCGGCAGCACCTCCAGCACCGTGCGCTGCACCTGGGGCAGCGTGCCCTGGCCGCATGCATGGCATGGCCGCGTGCAGGGGGGGTTGTGGGAAAGGAGGTGAAGACGAGTGCAGTGAGCAGCAGCAAATTGGAAGGGAACGTGCAGCATGGAGCAGATACGGATGTCAAAATAACGAAAGACGATGACACCAATATGAGGTTGGTGGTGGGCACATGCATGTTAGTCAAAAGCACAGGCGGGTGACAAGACAGCATGAAGGGCAGAGGCGGCATGCAGGGCGTACGGCGAGGGGAGGGGGTTCAGAGGGCAGCACGGGGCAGCGCGCCATGACATCGACACAGGCGAGCAGGCGCAGGTAGTCGTGGTCCTCAAAGGCGAGGCCGGCTGTGCTGTACACCTCGCCCAGGTCCTCCACCAGCTTCTGCCGTGTGCGCACCGCCACTCCCGACGCGGGTGACGTGCTGTCACGCAGCAGCAGCTCGTACGCGTCCATGCTGCTGTCCCAGTAGTGCCTCGGGATGCTGCCCTGCCACCATGACACACGGGGGCGGGTGGGGGTGCGGTCACACATGCATCGCCATGGTGCATCAGGTGGGGCAAGGTAGAACGGCGTGAGGTCAGCATGGAGTGGTGGGATGCATAGCCAATGCGCACATAGCACAGTGTGAGCATGATGGTCACCTTGGTGGCATGTGTGAGCATGATGGTCACCTTGGTGGCATGTGTGAGCATGATGGTCACCTTGGTGGCATGTGTGAGCATGATGGTCACCTTGGTGGCATGGGTGAGCATGATGGTCACCTTGGTGGCATGGGTGAGCATGATGGTCACCTTGGTGGCATGTGTGAGCATGATGGTCACCTTGGTGGCATGTGTGAGCATGATGGTCACCTTGGTGGCATGTGTGAGCATGATGGTCACCTTGGTGGCATGGGTGAGCATGATGGTCACCTTGGTGGCATGTGTGAGCATGATGGTCACCTTGGTGGCATGTGTGAGCATGATGGTCACCTTGGTAGCATGGGTGAGCATGATGGTCACCTTGGTGGCATGTGTGAGCATGATGGTCACCTTGGTGGCATGTGTGAGCATGATGGTCACCTTGGTGGCATGTGTGAGCATGATGGTCACCTTGGTGGCATGTGTGAGCATGATGGTCACCTTGGTGGCATGTGTGAGCATGATGGTCACCTTGGTGGCATGTGTGAGCATGATGGTCACCTTGGTGGCATGTGTGAGCATGATGGTCACCTTGGTGGCATGTGTGAGCATGATGGTCACCTTGGTGGCATGTGTGAGCATGATGGTCACCTTGGTGGCATGGGTGAGCATGATGGTCACCTTGGTGGCATGGGTGAGCATGATGGTCTGCAGAGTGCTGGCAGCAGCAGCACTGACTTCTCTGCTGCCTGTCAGCACGCCCTCCTCCACGAACTGCAGCAGTGCGCTCCATACTGCCACCACCATGGCCACGGGTGGATGAGAGGGCACGAGCAGGCGGTTCGGAAGGAGCAAAGATAAAGCTGGTGGAGAAGAGGAGTGAAAGGAGATCAGTGGAATGAAAGAGGTACACGGCCTTGCTTACTGGTCCCACAAAGGAGGGGCGGGGGCACCAGGAACAGCTTCGCATGCAGTGCCAAATACTGATGCAGTGCACACCTTCCCGAAAGTTGTCCATGGTATGAAGCAGTGGGAAGAAGGCACGAATGAGGCGGGCGAGGCCGTTGAGTGCCATGACGAGGGTCTCGTCCCACTGCTTCTGCGCCGTGTTGCGGCTGTGGTGCACCAGCATCATCACACTCCTCCCCCCCTGCCGCCCTATCTCCGTCCCCGGCGCCTCGTCTCTCGATGCCGTGGCTGCCTGTAGGGCAGAGTGGACGAGAAGATGGTTGAGTGAGGCCAAGCCAAGTGGATGTCATCATGCCAGCTGTGTCTCTGACAGGCATGTGACTGGGACTGATATGGTGGTGTTGCCTGGACCATCATTCACTACCATGGACCAACAATAGGAGACAGGGACTCACAAGGGAGCGCAGGACTCACAAGGGAGCGCAGGACTCACAAGGGAGCGCACGGAGTCGATGAGGGGGAAGATGAGGTCCCAGAGGCAGTGGCGCCAGGAGGCGGGTGGCAGCTTGGCGCCGTGGCTGACCACCGTCTGGAACAGCGTGCGCATGGCAGCATTGCGCACCTCCGGCCGCCCGTCCTTGGCACGCGCCTCCATCACACACAGCACCGCCAGCAGCAGCGCACTGCTCCGCTCGTCCAGCATCCTCCCGCTGCCAGATCCCCTCCCCTGCCCTCCTCCCCCATCCGTTCCTTCAACCCCCTCTCCCCCCCTGGTCCGCCCTGCATCGGTGTGAGCTGGCTTTCTGTGGATCCTAGTGAAGGTGGAGGGCGTTGCTAACGCTGGCAGCTTCAGTGCCAATGCTGCTGCTGCTGCTGCTGGTGCCGTCGATGGAAGGTACGTGGCAGGGGAGGCGGAGGAGAGAGGGGTTGCTGCAGTGGATGTCGAGGAGGAGGACGGGAGGTCACACTGGTTGAGTAGTGTGGAAACTGGGAAATCGAGGGGTATGGAAGAGAAAATACAAGGGTGAGGGGAGCTGGAAGCATTGTGTGTACGAGTGAGGGTGAGATTTCAGGCTTGTAACAAATTAAGGTAACAGTTTATGTACGGATGGTGCAAGCCTCAAAGCAGAAAAAAAAACGAGTTTAGGGATTTGAAGAAGTGTTAACACTTGAGCATGGACGCTGGCGAGCTGAGAAGATGGTAGATTATGAGGCCCAGAACGGATTCAGGTCAGGCATGTAACAATGAGGTCATAGGCTGCGATAATGGAGTAGAGAGTACAGGTAAGTCTTCGTGCATACTGGTCTCACAGGTGGCAGTGCGGTGTGTGGTGGTGGCATGGTCGAGGCCACGAGCAAAGAAGTCAGCCATGGTCCAGAGCAGCCCCACGGACGTGAGGGAGATGTTCACATCCGCCACTTGCCCTGCAAACGCCCCCACCACCTCCACACACCTGGTGCACAGCGAAAGGACGAATCGGAGGTACAGGCTTCATCAGAAATTGCAAGTGCACTCGTGAGTGAGCAATACGTGAGACACAATCATGGGAAGCACAATGCAGTGGAAGATGCTTGGCACAGGGGGTCTGTCACATAGGCCAGCGGCACGATATGTAGGATGACGTTGAGGGCGCACAAGAGAAGCACGTGGAATGTGCCATGAGATGGGAAGGGACATGCGGCCAAAAGGGGTGTGGATGAGAACGAGCACTATGGGTAGGGCAAATGACACGGCATGGTGATATGCTGGAATGGTATGAGAAGGATCAGTGTTGAAAGAGCATTACAGGATGCACTGTTACAATGGCATGGCACGATGATATGTTGGAATGGCATGCATGATGTGGCATGGATGGAGACTGACAGTTGAAGGGTGTGAGGCGGAATGGAGGAGAGGCAGTCGTTGACCACCACCAGCTCACTCTGCACGCCACATGAGCAGTCAGAGACACACGATTATGCAACCTTCAAGTGCGTGCTCCACACCCAGCGTGGCTCATCTTGTGGGCAGGCAAAGTGGTGACATGAGTGGACAGCGGGACGAGCAAAGCAAGGAAGAAGGAGCAGCAGGGCCCACCTGGAAGGCAAGGCCCACGAGGTCCTTGTCATTCGTCTCTGCTACCATCCTGCTTGTTATGGCATTGCATTGGCATGACATGGCATGGCATGGCATGGCACAGCGTGGGATCGCGATGTGATGGCACAGCAATGGCATGGCATGGCACAGTGTGGAATGGAACACCATGGAAAGGGATGGCATGTTACCGTGGAGCCACAATGACATCAAACAATGTTGACGAACGGCAATGGATGGTCGAATAACAATAAGCCCTGATAACACCTTCAGCTCACCAGTTACCCAGCAACTACACTTCCTAGCCCCCAAAAGGCAGTGTGTGGCTGCAGCAGCAGCAGTGTGTGGGTGCAGCAGCAGCAGGTGTGTGGGAGCAGCAGGCTGACCTTAGGAGGTGGAGAACAGTGGGCCACGTGGAGTGCAGCTTCTCCCCATGGCGCTGCAGAAAGATTGTGAAAAAGGGGGCAGTGCAGATCACTAGATGCGAGAGAGGACACAAAAGGGCATCAGCAATGGACAGAGAGAGATTGGTAGAGAGTGAAGGAGGAAGGGGAGAGGGGAAAGAAGAGAAAGAGAGCCTGCCACGGCTGCACGCGTTTGCACCCGTGCAGCCAGGCAATAACCCTCTATACCAAGGTTAAGCCGTTGGGGGATCAGAAGCACATGCACACTGAGGAATGGGTTGTGCCGGACTCACCTCCAGCATGTGCAGCAGGATGCGCAGTGCTCCTGCCTTCACCTCTGCATCGCGCCCATCGCGCCACAGGGAGCTCACAGCGCCCACCACCATCTCCTCCAGCGCCACCTCCCCCTGCCCCTCCCCCTCACCCTCCCCCTTCTGCCCCTCCCTCTCCTCACCTCCCTCCCCTCCCTCTTTCCGACAAACCTCCGCCCCCTGCTGCTCCTCAGTGGCCTGTGAAGAGGCTGTGGCGGTGGTGAGGGCGGAGGAGGAGGAGGTGGAGGAGCGGCGGTGCAGCGAGGGCGAGGAGAGGGCGGCCATGACGGCGCGGTCGATGGTGTCCACCGCCACCGCGCGCACGCCACTGCTCTCGTGCACCGCCAGCTGGGCACGCACACATGGGAGGGACGGATGGGAGACAGACTCGGTCAAGGGAAGACAATTAATATGAATATAAAGGAAGACAATTATGCTGGTCAAAAGAGTCTTGTTTAGGGGGAGGGTGTGCACGATAGAGTGTAGCTAGATTTGTGAGTTGGACTGGAAGCGGTGCATACCTCGAGCAGGTGCAGCAGGATGGCATCCCAGATAAGGTCCATTCCTGTAACGAGGCACAAGCGGACACGGTTCAGTGCAGGTGCATTCAGTTGAAGCGACGCGACCATGATCCACAGTGACACTTGTACTAGGAGATGAACCACACCTTGCTGCACCGCCCGCTCATACGCTGCACCGCACGCGCATACGCTGCACCGCACTTTCATACGCTGCACCGCTCGCTCATACGCTGCACAGCACTTTCATACGCTGCACCGCACGCTCATACACTGCACCGCACGCTCATACGCTGCACCGCTCGCTCATACGCTGCACCGCACGCTCATACGCTGCACCGCACGCTCATACGCTGCACCGCACTTTCATACGCTGCACCGCTCGCTCATACGCTGCACAGCACTTTCATACGCTGCACCGCACGCTCATACGCTGCACCGCCCGCTCATACGCTGCACCGCACTTTCATACGCTGCACCGCACGCTCATACGCTGCACCGCCCGCTCATACGCTGCACCGCACGCTCATACGCTGCACCGCACGCTCATACGCTGCACCGCACGCTCATACGCTGCACCGCACGCTCATACGCTGCACCGCCCGCTCATACGCTGCACCGCACGCTCATACGCTGCACCGCACGCTCATACGCTGCACCGCCGGCTCATACGCTGCACCGCCCGCTCATATGCTGCACCGCCCGCTCATACGCTGCACCGCACGCTCATACGCTGCAATGCACGCTCATACGCTGCACCGCCCGCTCATACGCTGCACCGCCTGCTCATACGCTGCTTCGCACTTGTTGAGTGGGTGAGGACTCACGGTGCATGTTGTGGGTGAGCACAGACAGCATGCGCTCCACCGCAAACATCTTGAGCGTGGACGGCAGCGCGCCCGTGGTCAGAGGCGACGCCACTGCAGCAGCAGCAGCAGACGTGCCGGCAGCGGCAGCAGCAGCAGAGGAGCCCGAGGCAGCGATGCCGAGGCCGGTGGTGACGCAGTGCAGCGCGCGGTTGGACACCACCCGCAGGGCCGCCAGCAGGGCCAGCACGGCCGGTGTGTCCATGTGAGCCGTGCTCTGGAACAGCTGGTGGCGCACAGTGGACGATGCAGTGGTGGGATCAGGGCATGGGTGGCAATAAGTGGACTCAGTGCCAGCATGGCATGGCAAGCACACTCGAGCAACGCACACATGCTTCAGAAGCTGAGCATTGCAAGGATTGTAATGGTGGCAAGTCACACACACAAGGGTGCATACTTGCCCATCCAGGGTGGCAAGCATACGGACTTGTGCATCGAGGGTGGCGAGCACGGAGAAGTCGGATTGCAGTGAGGAGGGCGCGCCTGTGAGCTCCTTGGACCCGCGCGACCCTGCTGATGGCGTTGATGCTGATGTTGATACGTCCTGCATTATGGGGGTTGCACAGTCCAAGTGCCACCACACATACGTCCAGTGGCGTCACACCACTGCATGTCAAGGTAGCACGTCGCCGCATCCTGATGCCACATGGATGCTGCTATTAATAAGGGCAGTGCAGCAAAGCCTCAACCTCATATATTTGTTGCAAGACACTCACAACACTACGTGCCTGAACCTGAACATGCTACACGCCCGGCTATGCTACATGCCTGGCTGGTGGCGTATGGCGAGTGGATGGTGCGGTCGAGGGCAGCCAGATTCTCCATCACCTGGTGAGGTGCAACATGATATGTGATGCGCATGGCATGGGGGAACACAAGTTGGCAGGGAGCACAAGTTGGCCCTGAGGAAACAAAGCAGCATGGGGCACATGTCATGGGCAATTGGGCGAATATAGAGTGGGACACAACACTAGGCAAAGCTCAAGGCAGGGTCAATGGTGCAAGGTGTAAATCAGCACACACCAGTTCCCAGGATGGTCCAAGCACAGCGCAGAGGCGGTGGGAGACATTGAAGAGCGTGCGCAGGGCATGCATGTTCTTGGGTGTGAGCACGGGCACGCCCTGCCCCAGGGCGGCAGCAGAGGTGGCGGCAGCGGAGCCCATGGAGGAGGCGAGCAGGTCCCCCCGTGACTCCGTGCCCAGCAGTGCGTCCAGTGACCTCATGGGCGACAGGTACGAGCTGTGCCACAGTGCCCCCCACACAAGGGGTTTCGATGAGAATGTGATGGAATGTGACGAGCTCGATGGGGGAGGTGACGGGGTGCTGGTGATCGACAGGCATGAAAGGCCACCAAGTCAACGTCCATGTTCATCCATGAATCGTGAAGAGCGTAAGGCTAAAGTGTTACAGGTTGGCATTGATGTGTGTGAGATTTGCAGTGGATTTTGGTGGTGATGTGAGCGGGTGTCATAGAGTGATGGCGTTAGTGGTGGCCATGATGTGCAATGGTGAGAGAGGAGTGCATGGGATGAGCATGGCAACCGAGTGTACTTACCTTGACGGGGAGGAGGGCATTTGGAAGCGGTCGGAGTCAAAGGGCTGGCCGGGGGGCGCCATGGTGGTCATGGATGGCGAGGAGACGAGGGTGAAGCGACACAGCGATGCCAGGAACTCGTCCCGCGGGTCCACCAGGTCCAACGCCCCACATGCCTGGTGGCCACGGCAATGAGGGTGGTTGGGGCATGCGGAGGAAGGGAATGTGAGTGCAGAGAGGGTACGGCAGCAAAGAGGCAGTGTTTGCAGAGGAAACAATAGCAGTAACAACCAGCTGGTGCATCCTCACCTCACCTGGGTGGAAGCCGCGTATGCCCGCATCTCACCTGGGAAGAAGCTACGTATGCCCCCATCCTACCTTGGTATAAGCCTTATATGCCCTCATCTCACCTGAGTGAACGCCTGGTATGCCCTAAGGATCTCCAGAATGACAGCCTCACCCTGTGACCTGCATATAGAGGGGGGTGACAGGTGAACGGAGTAGTTTGAATGGATGAGCCATGCCATCCACAAGCGCCTACACAAGTTAGCAGGGTGAAGAGAAAGGCTTGGTACATGCGAGAATGGTGGTGTGTGCTGGATTGGTGTGCGCCTGTAAGCGGTTCTGTGTTTGTGAGTGGGCAGTGAAGAAGGTTGCAGGAGGGAAAGGGGCACCGACCGGGCAAGAATGATGGAGAGAGCATCGAGGACGGTCTTCCACACAGCATCCACCATGCGCACACACAGCTCCTCCAGTGCTCCACGCACCCGCCCCTCTGCACTGCTACCCCTGCTCTCTGCATCCTCATCATCCTGAGCTCCTTTCTTCACCCACTCGCTCCCACCGCCCTCCTCCTGCATGCCCCCCAGCAGTGCTAGCAAGCCGCGAGTGAGCCCCGGGGAGGGCGCGTGGGAGTCGGGGTGAGGCAGCAAGGCAGGGTGCTGCCCTGGCACAGGTGTGGAGAGAGGGTCCACCGGTGAAGACTCATCCTCGCCCTGCCGCCCACCACCCTCTGAAACACCAGCCTCAGTGTCAGGTTGCTTGCGCGGTGCGAGAGGGGACTTGGGAGGCGAGGCGGAGTGCGGGAGCGAGTCGTCCATGGCCTCGTCAGTGAGCAGAGCGATGGTGAAGACCATGCCCAGCAGCCCCTCCACCGCCAGCGTTATGGCGTGCGCCTCACTGGCCGCCACCACTGCGATGCCCGCCCAGTCAAAGTCCATGGACCACTCCACCCCTGCTGCCCCCAACCACGAGGCACACACACACGCATTAGCAAGCTAGCCTGCACGGCTGACAGAGGGAGACGATGCAACGGCGAAGATCAAAGGGCGAATCACCTCTGGCCTTGCTGCTGAACATGCCCGCAACTGCAGCTAAACTCTCCTCACTGGAGTCTGGCACCTGTGACGCATGAACAAACCAATTCACATGCACGCGCACACCAAAGTGCAAGCACACATGCATTCATGTATATGCACACACGCACGTGTGCGCACACACACACACATACACGCACACACACACACACATACACGCACACACAAAACACACAGACACACACACGCACACACACACACACACACACACACACACACACACACACATACACACACATGCATGAGGAAAGGGGGAGGGGCGAGGATTGGAGTGATCATGGACAACGAGAGAAAAAGGAGAGTCATTGTGGGAAGTTTCACAACGAGGTGGGGACGATAGTCATGGGGGAAGAAGCTGGTTGTGATGTGGTGCTGACACCGTGTCAGGATGGTGGCACACGTGTGTGGTGACAATGGGTGTTAACAACGACTGAGTGCATGAGGGCAGCAGCGCAGCAGCAGACCTGCACGCTCTGCACCACGTGCGCCAGCGCCACTGCCATCTCCTCCACTATGCTGCTGTTGCCCGGCTGCCTGACACACACGCAACAGCCACGCTCAGGGGGGGAAGAGCAAAGGAGGTGGACGTTCGCAGAGAAAACGACGGAAACAAGAATTCCAGAAGTTGAATGTGCTGTTTAAAGTACTTCCAGGAGTGCGGAGAAATCTACCTCGCCCAGAATAACTATAATCGGAGATCATTTAATCCTTCAGTAGTTACATTTTTAAGCGACCGTGAACACTAAATCTGATGATACGCTGACACAAGTACCACTGGCACGCATGAACCTGCCGGGAACCTGCTCTCTCACGCCAAACAATGAACTTTTCGCATCACAAGGTGAAATCCCTCGTATACGGAACAGTGTGAAAGCACTCACATGTCAAACAGGTTGAATATGAGTTGAAGGGTCCCTGGCTCCACGCAGAATCCCTGCATGCAGATGAGCGCACACACGCACACACGTGCGTGAAAGTGTCAAGTTAGCAATGCAATCACACGGAATGAAGCCACCATAGCATGCCCTCCATCTTCCACTCATCTGCACATAGATTTAGTGACCGTTTGCACTGGGACAGGTGAAGGGCCTACCGCAACCACTTACTCAAAAAGCATGCTGGCAACCGGGTTCGAGTGGCCAAGCAATCACTAGCTGGCATAGCCTACCCGTCGCATCTAACCAGAGGGCGCGGTGTGGTGTGGCGCATACCCGGAGCACTTCAAGCACGAGGATGCGGTGCCAGAGAGGCAGGTCCTGGTCCACGCTCTTCACCAGCATCAGCAGAAACACCTGCTCGGGATAAAAGTTTCTCGGGAAAAACGATGAGGCCGAGGGTTGGGAAGAACGATGAGGCCGAGCACACGGAAGAGAAGCAGCAATGAAAAAAGGATCAACAAGTGTCAAGACTATCGCCCGCATGAGTGACCCAGTGCCCTCACCTCGCACTCAGTGGTGAGCTGAGCGTGGTGTTGCCGCACGAGGGTGGCCACACAGCGCAGCACCAACCGCCGGTACCCTGGCTCGCCCACATCCCCCTCCTGATGTTGCCCACGCCACCCCATGTACACGGAGGAATGGTTAGGTGATACGGCAATCGCTAGTGCTGTGACACGATATGCAGAAGCATTCACACGATGGCACTCACCTCAGAGCCTGTGGAGCGCAGTGACGTCATCACGAGTGCACAGAGCTTGTGCTGCAGCACCTGGTGAGGCACAATGGGGGAGGAGAGGGAGAGAAGGAGCAAGAGAGTGCTCAAATGCAAGGGAAACCGTCAGTGAGGCTCATTCATCAAGTTTACAACAGTCAGTGCTCAAACGATATGAAGTCATGCAAGCAACTGGAGTCATGTGACACGTTATTGGTCAAACTCCTGCGAAATGCCTGACTCAATTTTTGTGCTCAGGCAAAAGATGGCTCGTAGATAACCTCACCTCGCGAGTGGTGTAGCCCATGCATGGTAGCACGGAGCATGGCTGACCTGCTGGTAGGGAGTGAGGCGGCGGAAGAGCGTGGCATAGTGCGACACGACGTACTCCAGCATCTCCAGGGCGAACGTGCGCTGCAGTGATGGCACGTGCAGCCACTGCGCCTGCCTCGTGGGAAAAGTGCAGGAGAGTGGGGGCACAGGGCACACATTAAACACAAGTGGTTGCCACGGGGATCAGCAGAAGAGAGGAAATTGCATCACTGCAATGCGCAAATCACATCTGACGCAAACATCCCTTTTCAAGTATATTTCCCTCCCAACTCCCGCTCTCCCAGCAGCCCCCCCCTCCCACCCGCCCCTTACGACCCTGCCCTGCTGAAGCTCCCTGCCCGGTGTGCACCTGTTGGCCAGCAGCAAGAGCGGCGAGATCCTCGAGCAGGCGGAGCCCCATGCGCGCCGCGGGTGAGAGGTCGTCCACGCGCTCCTTCAGCACCACCGTCTCCAGCTCCTCCCCCATCCCCCTCCCTGCCCCCTCGCCCTCCGTCGCCCTGCCAAGGGTTTATGTGCCACAAAAGGGGACAAAAATGTTGTGACAACAAGTACCCTTGAATGCGATGCCAATGGTGAGTGACTGGCAATGGGCTCACCTGGAGGCCATGACGATGCGGCTGATGTCGCCCGGCTCGGAGGTGTTCCACACGCGGTTGGCCTGGCGGGGGGCGGACTGCACTGGCAGGCCCTCGCTGCTGGCAGCTCTGTCGAAGATGAGCGCTATGGCTTGCCGCAGCGTTGCTGTGGCCGTGCTGCCATGCACACATGCACGCACAGACACAATCACGCACACGTACACGCACATGCACGCGGGTTGGGTTGACGGGGAGGGAATGAATGTGCGATGATAGAGTGCGGCAGTAGGGTCAGGACAACATTGCAAACCCGTGGTTGCGACAGCAGGCATTCAGAGGCCATACACACGAGCACACAAGAACATCCCTCTCCCTACCTGTGAACACAGTCCAGCTGCCGAGTGCTGCCTGCAAGGCGAAGGCAGATGCCAAGGATGATGGCCATGCTCTCCTGCACACATGGGGGGGAGATGGGCGCATGCATGGACGAAGTTGGTGCACGCATGTGGCTACAGACTTGATGAAAGCACTGTGTGAACCTTGTATGCAACATGCCGAGCTCCTGTCCGTGTGCATGCATGCACGTCCCAGTGCTTGCATGCATGCCTTATGCTCCTCGTTCTTCTCATCCGAATGCATCCATGAGACACTTTTCTTGAAGCGTACAGACCCCACCTCACCATGAGAGTGAGGGGTGGCAATGGCATGGCAGCGCACCTCATCTTTGGGGTGCAGCTGCGACTGCAGCACTGTCAGCACTGTCTGCAGCACCTTCAGCTGCACCGCCTCCTCTGACCCGTCCGCGTGCTGGGGAGGGCACGCAGGGGGAAGGAAGGAACACACTAAGGCAAGACGAGGTGTAGCAGATTGTCATGGATGACAGGTGCAGACAGGTCTGACTAGCATTGCCAGCGAGCTGAAAGTGGATTCCTGCACCACTGCCGCATCAGTAATGTACGTCAATCAATCGTTCTACAGCCAGCACCGTGGATTCAATGCTCTGCATGCACCGTTGCCTGCATAGATTTCAGATACATCGTGTGTCAGGCACATATATGTAAGGCAGACATCCTGCATCGCTGCAAGCTGTGCATTCCAATGTCATCACTGCAAGCAATTTCAGTCAGGATTGACGCATGTCTGCACCAAATGCCATTCGGATCAGAATGAGCATCACTGTAATATGTCAGTCAGGAGGACACATGTCATCGTGCAAGACATGCGGGTCAGAAAGTCAAATGCTAGCCAAATGAGATCATGAGATGCACCACTGCAGGAATTTTCAATTGAGGACTACAATACACGTCAGTCAGGATAAGCTGCATCAGTGTAAGAACCGTCAGTTGCATCTCTGCGGTACATGTCAGTCAGTGCAAGATATGACAGTCAGAATGTGGCGCATCACCGCAAGAAGTGCGGTCAGAGAGCTTTGCAACATTGTGGAGCAATCAACACCTACACTGGCTTGCATATCTGCATACACTGTGAATCAGAGAGCGTCGTGATTCACCTCTCTGAGCGTGGTCAGTATATCAGGTAAGGCAGCGGGCGGCACTGCGTTGTTGGCCACCAGCTTCTGCACGCACGACAATCCCAAGGCGCACAGCCGCGGCTGCCTTGTGTCGCACGCCAGCAGGAAGATTCGCAGCAACTCATCACTTCTCGAAATGGCTTCAGGCCCTGCCAGAGAACGCAGCTGAGTAATGGCAAGCGCAGCAAGAATTGTAGCGGTTCATGTCAATAAAGGACAAATGCCAGAGGCAGAACATATCAGCTCAGGGAACTTCTTTTGAGCAGCCTCAGATGTCAGCACGGGGAACATGAAAGCCGGAAGTGGATCGGCTGAGCCAATCCGTGCAGCACACCTTGAGGATTCCACGTTCCGCGGCGTCCTTCACGGCGGGGAATCGCCGCCGAGCCTCAGCGGAGATGGAGCGCAGGTCCGCCTCGAGCACCGCGTTGATCGTCATTGTGACTCGGCCACTGATCCGACGGCGGTGTGACTCCGACTACAATCGGTTGTGAGAGCGAACACTGATCGGCCACAGCTAAAACGACCTTCATGAATAAGAACAAGATGTGACGGGTCCGCGCGTTGTCTGGCAAACTTCGATTCGACGGCAGCGTGAAGCTTACAGGAAACCGATGCTCAAGCAATGCGAGAATAATCAGAATCTACTAGTAGTATGAAGTGCTCGTTGAGCTCATAATCCTCAGCTCGATTCAGTTACGGATTCGTGTCAAACTTCAGGTCAGAACTTACGAACTCCCACCTAAAGCGGTATTCGCGGCGGCTCGGGTGGTTGCGACGTGCTTCCCCTTACTGATCACGGGCCCCAGTAGTGTAAATCCGTACCTGAACAATTACTTCTTGTCAGAAGGTCCAACGTCTTACAGTATATGGGATGGAGGCAATCCCAAGACACCTTGAGATCTCAATACAAGACATTGTCGCTGAATTCTGCAAAATCCTCCAACCTCGAATACTATTTAGAGTATAGCTTTCAACATGTGTACATTCATTGTTGAGGTGTCGGTGTGGGTAGTTAATTGTTACAAGCGCAATGGAACGAACAAAGCGAAGATTCCACTAACAAAGGCATGAGCGAACACTATATAACGAAACATGCAAACGGTCACGCGCAGTTGCGTACTAGGCTATGCTATATTGGCAGCAAGGATCGGGTTATTCTTGCCGCGTGGGCTGACTCGTACTTCTACAGCGGTGTGTGTTTGTACACAGTGAAATCATCCAACATCGACATCTGACACATGCACGGCTCGAGAGTATGGGCTGCACGGTGTACCTTGGAGCAACCCCTACAGATCAGAGGGGGGCACATCAACGTCAACTCATTCGTTGCCCTCTGCTCCACATGTATCTTCACCTCTGCACGAAGCATCTTTCTGCTCGGCAGACTGTTACGCGTCGGTAGCTTAGAAATGGTCGTCGAGGGTTGGCTAGAGCCACTACTTATAGCGTTAGTTGCTGTGTAAGAAATCGGTAGTTTTTGTGACCTTTCCTGATTCTGGGTTATCACATGCAACGTGTTGTGAGAATAATACGAGGAATGAAATTGACTAGAAATGAGTTGGGTACAAATAGGGAAACCTAGAAATGTAGTACCCCCTATTGTCTAACCCACTACAGCCTGAACAGGCTATAACATAAGTTTGACACACCCCCATAGGCAAAGTGGGGGAGAACAAGAGGTCACAAGACCAGTCAAGAAAAGCAAAGCAAGCTCAGGGTGGATCTCAAGGATACAACACACATTCCGAGCACAAGCAAGCGGTCACAAGACCAGTTCACATGCAGTTTGATATATAACAAGAGGTACAGTGATCACAACCTAGCAAGTGTAAGCATGCAGGTATATGTATAGAGATCACAGTACAAGCAGAGTCAAGAGGTAAGCAAGTGAGGCACAGTAGGCACAAGGCCTAGAACAGTACAGAAACGCTGATGATCACAAGGCTGAAGCGCCTTGGTGAACACATCAGCAGTGTTGGCCCGAGTGGCCACGTAAGCAAGACGAAGCTGACCACGCTGCTCCAACTCTCGAGCAAGGAAGTAGCGCAGAGCGATGTGCTTCGTTCTGTGCTCCAGTCTGTGCTCCTGACACAAGGCAATCATGGCCTTGTTGTCGACGTACAGCACTGGAGGAGAACGAGGCACCTCTCCCAGGTCGGTCAGCAGGTAGGTGAGCCAGCGTAACTCCTGTGCAGCCATGGCCCCGGCGTAGATCTCAGCCTCACAGCTGGAGCTGAGAACAGAAGAAGAGCGGGTAGACAGCCAAGAAACAGAGCCGGAGCCAAGGCTGAAGGTGTAACCCTGTGACGACCGCTGCGTAGTCAAGTCGTCAGCCCAAGAAGCGTCTGCGTGACCAGTGAGGACAACGTCGCCTCGCCCTCCAAGCACGAGCCCCATGCCCGACGTACTGCACAAGTAGCGCAACACCCTCTTAGCAGCATCCATGTGCTCCTTCCGGTGACGGCCAGGAGCGACATAGCGTGCTAGAATGCTAAGAGGGTAGGCTAGGTCAGGTCGAGTGCAGGTCATCAGGTACATGAGGCAGCCCACAAGCTCTGGATACGGGCCACTCGGCTCTACGGACTCGTCCAAAGGTGGAGCTGAGAGCGAGTGACCGGTAGGCAGAGGAGTGGACTGTGGCGAGGAGTACGTGAAGCGGAAGCGCTGAAGGACCTGCTGCACCATGTGTGACTGAGTGAAGGTAATGGTGCGCTGTGCTCTGTCCCGGGTGATCCGCAAGCCAAGATAGCTTGTCAGTTCACCCACGTCTGTGCACGTGTGTCTCTTCAGCAGCTCCGACTTCACGTGGGCGAGTGCCTCCGTGTCAGCAGTAGCAAAGACCAGGTCGTCTACGTACACGAGAACGTAGAACGGCGGCAGAGTGGTGTCGGTGCGTTGAAACAGCGACGGGTCAGCAGTAGAAGGAGCAAACCCAAGAGCAGCAAGAGTCGTCCTCAGTGTGTCGTGCCACTCACGGGGTGCCTGGCGGAGACCGTAGACTGGCCGCCGGAGGCCCCACTGAGTACCAGGAGGAAACGACCCAGTGAAGCCAGGTGGGCGGCGCAGCCAGATCTCCTCATGCAGGCTGCCCTGTAGGAAAGCAGTGCTGAAGTCAAGAGAGTGGAGCTCGTAGTCACGCTGAGCGGCGACGTGCAGCAGAACCCGAAGAGTGGTCATCTTCGGGGTAGGGGAGAAGGTCTGGAAGAAGTCAACTCCCTCACGCTGACTGAAGCCTCGTGCAACGTAACGCGCCTTGAAGACAGGCGGAGAACCCGGCGGCCGCTTCACCCTGAAAATCCACATGCCACTGACGATGTTCGCCCCAGGCAGGGGAGCCTCGTCGACGTAGGTGCCTGTGGACTTCCAGGAAGCCATCTCTGCGTCCATGGCTGACTGCCACTGAGAGGAGTAGGGACCCTCTATCGCCTCTGCGTAAGAGCGCGGGATCGGGATGTCTGGTGCATCCGGGTCTCCCTCAGGGGCAATCAGCATGGACACGAGATGAGGTAAAGCAGCGGCAAAGCACTCAAACTCCTCCTGTCTGTCCTCAAGGACGTCCGTGCCAAGAGCACACTCACCCCCGACGGACGGAGGACAGAAAGACTCAGACTCAGCAACAAGGCTAGCGGCGTAGTCTAGACGACAGGCTGCAGCAAAGTCAACAAGCTCAGCAACTAGAGCAGACGCAGCAGTGGACTCAAAGGAAGGGTCAGTGACAACAGTAGCGAGAAGACGCGTGACAGTAGGACTGGCAACACGAGCAAGGTCTGACGGCGGGTCAGCAACGTCAGGAAGAGAGGACGCAGGAGGAGACGGCAGAGGGACACGCTGTGGAGCAGTGGAAGGACGCAGAACCATATAGTGAGTGCCAGGGACAGGAGGAGGACGCTCACGCGGAACACGACGACCAGTGCGGACAGCGCGGACAGGCGACTCTGGACGAGACTCAGGCGACGCAGGACGAGACTCAGGCTCACGACGCTCCGTAAGACCTCTAGTCGGCCCAGAGTAAGGAGAAGGACTAGGCAGTAACTGTGACTGCGACTGGACAGGCGGTGGACTCAGCAGGGGAGGAGTAGGACCAGTAGAAGGCGGGAGGCCAAGAACCTGCTGAAGAAGCGGAACGTAGTACGGCCGCGGCCGCGCAGCGCCTCCTGAACCAGCAGAGACAGCACCAGCACCCTCAGCTCCAGGGTCTCCAGCGGCAACTCCCGCACCACCACCAGAAGCTCCAGCAGCTCCAGCACCTACAGCTCCAACTCCCGCAGCAGCTCCAGTCCAAGTAGCTCCAGGACCTCCAGTACGAGCACCTCCAGGACCAACGGCCCGAGCAGCTCCAGCACCAGCAGCACCTCCAGCAGCAGCAGCACCTCCAGCAGCACCAGCACCAACAGCACCTCCAGCAGCTCCAGCACCAGCAGCACCTCCAGCAGCACCAGTACCAGCAGCACCTCCGGCAGCTCCAGCACCAGCAGCACCTCCAGCAGCTCCAGCACCAGCAGCACCACCAGCAGCTCCAGAAGCACGGCTACAGCGCCGAGCGTACCACTCACGAAGCTGTCGTGGAGAGAGGGGCTCCCGCCGCGACGGGACACTCGGAGGACCTCCAGTCGCAGCACCCCCAGACTCAGCACCCCCAGGCTCAGCACCCCCAGGCTCAGCACCCCCAGACTCAGCAACCCCAGGCTCAGCACCCCCAGACCCGGCACCCACAGGCTCAGCACCCCTAGCAGCACCAGAGTCAACAGCTACCTCAACAGGCTCGACTGCGTCTACCTGAGACACACCTGAGGGGGCAGGACCCTGAGGGAGGAGGGGGTCTACCGGAGGAGTACCTGGCGCGAGGAAGAGCGGCGGGGGGGGGAGGGGGGCAGTGCGGTAGGGGAAGAGACGGTAGTAAGGAACCGACTCGTCAAACGTGACGTCCTGAGAGGACAGAACACGGCGCGAGGTGGGGTGGTAAAACTGCCAGCCAGGCGCGTCAGGGGGGAAGCCAAGGAAGACGCAGGGAACGGCACGGGAGGACAGCTTGTCCGCAGACAAGTCGCGGACGAAAGCTCGAGATCCCCAGACACGGAACACAGACGCATCGCCAACCTTCCCCGTCCACCGCAGAGTGGGGGTGGTCTCCGGCATGGAGACCCAGGGCTGGAGGTTGATCTGATGCGCCGCGTACTGAACCGCGAACGGCCACAGAAAATGGGGAGCAGCCGCATGGATCATGGACGTACGAGCGACATCCATGACCATGCCAATGCGGCGCTCAGCAATCCCATTTTGCTGTGGAGAGGCCGGAAGCGTGAACGTCTGGCGGATGCCCTCCGCCCGACAGAAGGCCCGCAGAAGGTCAGAGGAAAACTCACCACCTCTGTCTGAGTGCAGACGCACAACAGGAAAGTCCGAGCCGAAGCTCTTCCTGAGCTGGAGACGAGCAGCGCGGATCTAGTCGATCAACACCTCAGTGACCTCACCCTTGCGGCGCAAGGGCAAGACCGTGGTGTAACGCGAGTAGTCGTCAACGACCAGCAGGAAGTAACGCTCGTGACCCTGTCCACGGACGCGGGCTGGGCCCCACACGTCCATGTGAAGAGTCTGCAGTGGGGCCTCTGTCGGAGGAAACTCGGAGGAGTGAGGAGCGGCGCGCTGCCGGCCCTCGACGCAGGGAACGCAGGTAGGGGCAGGCCCCGGAGGAAGGGGAGGGAGGGACTCAGGAAGACCCGAGACCAGGACACGGGAGGCCATGCCTCGAAGACGAGGCAAGGAGGGGTGACCAAGGCGGTGGTGCCAAAGAAGAGTCTCGTGGGCCAGGAGGCGACACGAGCAGGGGGCAGACTCAGGGCCAGACCGGGACGCTGCAGCAAACACCTGACCCGACGCGGCTACCTGACGAGGAGGAGACTCAGTGGTAAGGGTGTACAGGCTGGACCCTGGCCTACGGGTGAACGTGGCCAGGTGACGACCCGTCCGAGCACACGTGCAGTGCGTCACACGCTGGTGGGCAGGGGTGAACTGGTGAACACCCCCATCCTGAAGATCAGCACCCGCCACCAAGTTCGTAGAGAACGAGGGGAGGTGAAGACCAGACAGCGAGCCGGACGGAACAGCAGGACACGGGAGGACAGTGGAGGAACGGGCCACAACTGGTCCCCCAGAGGGGTCAGCCAGAGAGACTGCCACCGGCCGACTGAGCGGCGAGAGGGTGGTGCAGTCGCGAAAGAAGGAGCGGGAGGCACCCGAGTCAAGGGTGAAAGTGTGCAAGACCTGAGCCGACGCGGTACCTGAGAGAGCAGCCGCACCAGCACCTGGAGCAGCAGACTCACTAGCACCTAGAGCAGCAGACTCAATGCCCGGGTCGGGCGGAACACACAGGTAACAGTCACCCTCATCACTAATAGACACAGCATACATAGCAGCAAGGATAGCATCATAATCAAGATCAAAGATAGCAACCCCCGACTTAAGCAGAATATCCCAGCGAGGGATCTCCGAGGAGCCAGGGAACTGAGTGCGCCAGGCGTCAGTCAGGCGGCCGAAGCAGCGTGGTGTGGTGCGCGGGCCTCCGCACGTCTCTCCACTGCGGTCGCCGGTGCGAAGAACGTAGGTGCAGGGACCAGCACCCCCAGACCTCCCACGCCCAGCGTACCACTCACGAAGCTGCTGAGGCGACGGGGTCTCACGGGAGCGCTGCTGCTGCTGGCGCTGGCCACCGCTAGAGCCTCCCCGCTGCCCACCACCACCCCCGCCACCCCCACCTCCTCCGCCGCCGCCGCCACCTCCACCCCCACTCCCGCTGCCTCCGCCGCCTCCACCTCCACCGCCGCCACCTAAGACCCCAGTCCCGCCACCACTCCCACCTCCACCCCCACCCCCTCCTCCTCCTCCACCGCCACTACCGCCGCCCCCGCCGCCCCCTCCACCCCCCTTGCCCCACTTGCCCTTGCTGTTGCGGCGCTTGCCACTAGGGGCAGACGCAGTGCCGACCGACTCGGTGCCAACGAGGTCGACAGCAGCAGCAGAGGCAACAGAGGGCAAAAGAGGGACGGGGGAGCACCCCTCAAAGAAAGGGGCACGAGGGTCACCACGAGAGGCTCCTACAGCGACTATACTCTTCTCTACTGCAAGGAGGCGCTCCTCGAGGAGGTCAACGGTGAGCGTGGTGGGGCAAAGAGAGAGGAAGTGGTCCCTGACCGAGCAAAGGGAGTCAGGGAGCCGGGTAACGAGGTAGTAGAGAGTGATGTACATAGGGGGGGGGTTCTTGGCGCAGAACACGGAAGGAAGCGCAGCGCGGTAGCGGGTGTCACTAGTGCGAAGGTGCGTAATGAGGTCAGCGACTGTGGCAAAAGCGGCTAGGTCAGGGAACAGGTATGGCAGCATGAGGCGGCTAAGGGCAGCAGTGGCAGGGGAGGAGTAGCGCGCAACAACAGCAGTGTACAGAGTGCTAGCAGTCTTGTACTGGCTAAACTGTGCGCGCTCAGCAGAAGGCAGGTGACTACGGACAGCAAGACGGGCAGCAGCATCGCGCGTGATCCACTGTGAGCGAACAGTACTGGTAGCATCAGCAGCAGGTGCAGCAGAGGCGCCAGAGGTGAGATCAAACAGTGAGATACCGTCCTTGCTATCGCACTACAGGAAAAGCTGCATATCATCGATCCAGACCTCAAAGTCGACAGCTCGACCCTCAGCATCGAAGGTAAGCACATTGGGACTAGCCATGACAGCAGTAGCAGCAGGCTAGTAGCAGTAGCGGCAGCGGCAGCAGGCTAGCAGCGCGACTCGGCTAAAGGGCGCGGCTCGGCAGGGCGGCGCGGCTCGGCGGTGCGCTTACCAGGGGCGGGGCCGCAACTGGGCGGCAGGGCAGGGCCGCGGCTCGGCTGCAGGGCAGGGCCGGGGCAGTAGTGACGGCAGCGGCGGCGGCGGCTCGCAACACCGGCGGAGGCAGGCTCGGCGGCGGCGGCAGGGACAGCAGCTGCTGCAGGGCTCCTCGGCGGCTGCTGCAGGTGGAGGCCGCAACCGGCGAGAGGGGCAGGGCGGGGCCGCAGCGGCGGGTCGACGCGGGGAGCCGGCGACGGCAGCTGCTGCAGGGGCGGCGAAGAGCCGCGAGGGGCCGCGAAGGGGGGGCCGCGAAGGCCGCGAAGCGGCCGCGAAGAGCCGTGAGGGGGCCGCGAAGGGCCACGAAGGGGGCCGCGAAGGGCGGCGAGGGGGCCGCGAAGGGCCGCGAGAGGGGCCGCGAAGGACCGCGAAGGGGCCGCGAAGGGCCGCAAGAGGGGCCGCGAAGGGCCGCGAAGGGGCCGCGAAGGGCCGCGAAGGGGCCGCGAAGGGCCGTAAGAGGGGCCGCGAAGGGCGCAAAGAGGCCGAGAAGGGCCGTTAGAGGGCGCGACGGGGCGCTTAAGGGCAGGCGCGAAGCGCGCTTCGGGCAGGTAAGGAAGAAACACTCGTAGTGGTGGGCCCTTAGGAAAAAATAAACGGTCCCACTAGGGAACCCGCTCTATACCATGTGAGAATAATACGAGGAATGAAATGGACTAGAAATGAGTTGGGTACAAATAGGGAAACCTAGAAATGTAGTACCCCCTATTGTCTAACCCACTACAGCCTAAACAGGCTATAACATAAGTTTGACACGTGTCCTCGTTCCACTACCGCTAATCGAGCTTCTTATACTATAATCTCTCCCCGACCCATTATGCCATGACTTCACCCTCCAACAGCGACCCTGGCGACAATGCCCATGTCCCAACCAACAATCCTCGCTTCCTAGAGTCAACATCCCCGCTTTCCCGCAGTCAGGTAGACCTCAAGGCATGAAAAAAAAGGTTCTATATGCTGCTTCTCCATCAGCGCGACATAGAATGCCGAAAAGGTCTCGTCACGCATTCACTGCGAATGAGAAGCTTCACTGGCTGGCTATGCTAGAGGCACAGCCAGACCTCAGCAATCGTGCCTTGACGAAGCTCGCCAAGGTGCAGCCCAAGCAGATCCGCGAGCGGAAGAAACTGAAGCGCCTCCAGGTCTCCGCGGGATGTTGTCGTCGGCTTCATGGTGCATGCCGTAAGGCGAAGTGGCCATTGATGGAGGAGGCGGTATACCGCCACTTTCTTGCGCACCGCGCTAGGGGATTGACGGCTTCTGTGAGCATGCTGCATAAGTGGTCAACGCAGTACATGAAGCACCGCCGGTCCAATGCAGATTGGCGCGCATCCACGCAGTGAACCTTTCGCTTTCGCGTGCTGCTGTCCTTGGCGAAACACATGAAGACAAAGATAGGGCAGAAACTTGTCGTCGGTAAACAAGCATCTCTTCATCCCCCCCTGTTCTAAATAATGTGTTAAACGATTCTAGCGACTGTCTCGTGCTGTGTGCAATATATTGTAAGCAGAAGGTTGAATCCTTATGGAAATTTATCTTGGAAATGCATCTGTTTTCCGACAAATTTGATCGTTAACGCCGACCAGACACCACTCTGGGCGCGCGCACCGTGCATGTCAAGGCCGCGGGGTATGAGAAGGAGGGCGATGTTGGCAGTGACGGCTGGTAGCCTCAAGCTCCCGCCATACGCTATTTTCAAACGAAATACATTGCCAAGGACCGTGGTATTATACGTGAGGAATTCGTTAATGGTTGCTCCCTTCCCTACTTTCACATGTCATTGAAAAAAAGACACCCCCGCTTTGTGGCTTGTGCAGGTGTATCGTCATTTGCGCCCAAGAAAGTGGTTGGATGGACGAGTGGAAATTACAATATTTGATAACTCATGTGCTCCTTGTCGTTGACCCGTACAAGGGGCACCTCATGGAACTGATAGGCAGACGATGAGGATGCTCAAGTTTATGCATGCCGTCATCCCTAGCGGGTTCGCCACCTACATCATGTGGTTTGAGGAGGTGGGGATTGGCCTCACAATACGGGCAGGTGAGGCCTTGCCCCTTGTATCAAAACATTGTCTCCGTTATTTGAGTTCCACTAGCCTGATCCCCCCTCGGGGAACTTGAAGGAGCCCCCCCTTGAAGTTCTCCTCAAGTGGACCGCTAAGGCATGGGCTGATGTGCCAGAGGAATTGGTGAGGAAGACGTTCCTCATCTGCGGCATCTCGATCGCCGAAGACGGGAGCAAGGATCATCCGGTTCTCGCTCACCTGCATGATAGGGCGGAGGTGGAGGTGCTGAATGACGTGCAGGGGGAGGCGGAGGTCGGGACGCTCCCAAACCCGTTCTACCGGTCGCCACCGACCACGAGGAGGATGAGGTAAATGCCGAGGCAGATCTTGCCGGGGAGGCGGATGAGGTGGATACCGCTGACAAGGAGAGGGCTGAGGCTGTGTCCCGCTCGAATAAGGAGGAGGATGGGGCAGACGAAGCGGTGGGAAGTGCGGATGGGTGGAGCGATGATGGTGACGAGTGGTGGGCACTAGGGCGCTATGAAAGGGAGTAAGTGGACAACTGGATGGCAGGCTAGGATGAGACAATCATACAATATCAAAGTCTCTATCACTAGACCACTGGGATAAAAGGGATTGTTTTAATAGCGGGTCAGTGCGCCCATAACCCCCAGGCAGCAGGCCTGTAACCCTTCCTAGGATCAATCGCGGATTCACAGTGTTTGTCTTCTGACACCCCCCTATACAGGGAGAAAACGACACAGCGCATACGGTAGCATGTGCGTACACCGGGATTCGAACCCGAGACCTTTAGCTCTGATACCATGTCAAAGCCCCAGTCACTAAACTGTTAGAATCCCAGCCACTAGACCACTGGGATAAAAGGGCTTGTTTCAGTAGCGGGTCACTGCGCCCATAACCCCCCATGCTAACATGCCTGTAACCCCCATATGATCAATCGGGGATCTCACAATGCAGCTCTAAAGACACCCCCCCACACTGGGAGGTCCAAGACTGAGCATAGCAACAACGGCCTGCATGTGCATACACCGGGATTCGAACCCGAGACTGCTCTGATACCATGTCAGGATCCCAGCCACTGGGATAAAAGGGCTTGTTTCAGTAGCGGGTCAGTGCGCCCATAACCCCCCAGGCTAACATGCATGTAACCCCCCTAGGATCAATCGGGGATCTCACAGTGCAGCTCTACTGACATAGACCACTGAGATAAAAAGGCTTGTTTTGTTAGCGGATCAGTGCGCCCATAACCCCCCAGGCAGCAGGCCTGCAACCCTTACTAGGATCAATCGGGGATACTAAGAAAGAATGATTCAGATCAACGTTTCAAAATTTGGAAGCACATTACACAGTTATGTCAGAATGTAATTGTATACATTACTCTATAACTGCCTGTAGTGTAGACTTAGTGTAGTTATCTTGCTTGTTAGGTGGTGCACCTTTCTTCTCATGCTTGTACTTTCATATTTGTACCCTTCAGCCTATAGTGAAACCCCCTCTCTTTGGCCAACTCTCTCGATAGTTCACCTCGCTACCTCCTTGCCTAGCTCAACCCTAAGCTATGGCTACTAAGTTATAGTTCATATTTTGACATGGTATCTAGAGCGAGCTCGTTCCTAGAGCCCTCATTCTTCGGCCCACTGTTAGCTTCCGCCAATGCGCCTTTTTTTTTCTGCCCGTCGCGCGCCCCGGGCGTGCGTCAGTTTCCTGCTCGTCGTGCGCCCCGGGCGCGCGGCGATTTCTGCTCGTCGTGCCCCCCGGGCGCGCGGCGGTTTCTGCTCGTCGTGCGCCCCGGGCGCGCGGCGGTTTCTGCCAGCCGGCGCCTTGTGCGCCTCTGCCCGGCGCCTCTTGCGCCTCTGCCCGCCCGAGCCGTCCTGCCCGAGCGCGCCCTGCCCGCCCGAGCTCGCCCTACCCGATCGCGCACCTCGCCTCCCCCCCCCCCCCCCCTCCCTTCTCTTCCCTCTCCCTACTGCGTGTGCAGCAGTTTGGGGGAGGGGGGGAGGGGGTGTAAGGGGGAGGTGGCAGCAACAGCACCACCCTGCCTCCACTCTTTCACGGCCGCACCTGCTGCTGTGGGGGGGAAGGGTGGAGTGGTGGGAGTGGCGGGAGGAGCTACTGCCGCTGCCGCTCGCCTTCCCTGTCTAATCATATATGCATGTTTAGGTTATCTAGGCTGTATGGGGGTTAGCACTAGGGGGTACAACATTTCTCTCGACATTCTTCTTGTACCCCCCCCTTGACCTAATCACACATTCCTTCCTAGTATTCTAACATGGTATCAGAGCTAGGACGGTCCTAGCCTAGGACCGTAATTAAGGGCCCACCACATTCGTTTTCACCTGCCCGACCGTTAGTTTCTGCCCTGCCCAGCGTTTCGCGCTGCCCTGCCCTTTTCTGCCGTGCGCAGCCCGTACAATCCGCGTAGGCCCGAGCACAGCCCGTACAGCCCGCGCCAAGCCGTCGCGCAGCCCGTACAGCCCACGCCAGGCCCGCGCGCAGCCAGTACAGCCCGCGTAGGCCCGTCGCGAAGCCCGTACAGCCCGCGTAGGCCCGTCGCGAAGCCCGTACAGCCCGCGCCAGGCCGTCGCGCAGCCCGTACAGCCCACGTCAGGCCCGCACGCAGCCCGTACAGCCCGCGCCAGGCCCGCACGCAGCTCGTACAGCCCGCGCCAGGCCCGCACGCAGCCCTTACAGCCCATGCATGGCCCGCACGCGGCCCGTGTTACTGCTGCACTCACGCTGCTGCTTCGCTGCTGCGCCTGAACTGCTGCTGCAGTGCTGCTGCCGCGCACTGCCCTGCACCAGCTACGCCGCCCCTGGAGCAGCCGCCCCTGGACCCAGAGCAACCGCCCCTGGCCCCTGAAGCAGCCGCCCCTGGTGCAGCCGCCCCTGGACCCTCGAGCAGCCGCCCCTGGACCCAGAGCAGCCGCCCCTGGCCCCTGAAGCAGCCGCCCCTGGAGCAGCCGCCCCTGGACCCAGAGCAGCCGCCCCTGGCCCCTGAAGCAGCCGCCCCTGGCCCCTGAAGCAGCCGCCCCTGGTGCAGCCGCCCCTGGCCCCTGCAGCAGCCGCCCCTGGTGCAGCCGCCCCTGGACCCTCGAGCAGCCGCCCCTGGACCCAGAGCAGCCGCCCCCGGCCCCTGAAGCAGCCGCCCCTGGTGCAGCCGCCCCTGGACCCTCGAGCAGCCGCCCCTGGACCCAGAACAGCCGCCCCTGGCTCCTAAAGCAGCCGCCCCTGGACCCTCGAGCAGCCGCCCCTGGACCCAGAGCAGCCGCCCCTGGCCCCTGAAGCAGCCGCCCCTGGTGCAGCCGCCCCTGGACTCCGTGCAGCCGCCCCTGGACCCCGCGACGCCGCCCCTGGACCCGCGTCGCCGCCCCTGGACCCCGTGCAGCCGCCCGCCGAGCGCCGGCCCTGCTCGCCCGGCGAGCGCCTGCTCTTCCCGCCACTGGTGAGCACCTGCCTTGTTAGCGCGCTGCAGCGCCATCTGCCTGCCTGCCTGCCTGCCAGCCTGCCTGCCTGCCTGCCTGTCTGCCTGCCTGCCTACCTGCCTGCCTGCCTGCCGCGCCTGCCCTGCCCGCGCTGCTACTGCTGCTAGTTCTGTTACTACTGCTAGGCTACTGCTACTGCTATTGCTGCTACTGGAGGTGGCCAGATGCAGCTCCAGCAACGTCCACGCGAGTCTCTCCCGCCCCAGCAGCTTCGTGAGTGGTACGCTAGTTGGGGTTGTGGCGGTAGCCGTCGTAGCTGTCGCCCTGGAGCTGGTCAGTTGGGAGCGTCTGGCAGTGGCCAGCTGCAGCTGCAGCGGCGTCCACGCGAGACACTTACGTCCCAGCAGCTTCACGAGTGGTACGCTCAGAGTAGAGGGTCTTTGAGTACCGTTCGCTGCCCGTACGTCATTCGCACAGGTGATCGGGCTGGTCAGGCTTGCGGGACGCTTGGTCACACACAGTCTCGCTGCTTCGCCCGTCTGAGCGACGCCTGGCGTACCGAGTTTGGCGACGAGGCTGAGCTCCCCACCTGGCTGGAGCTGCTTAGGCAGAGGGTATATATCTTTGCTCTTGACTATGATGCTATTCTCACTGCCATGTATGCATTGCCTACTAGTGCTGACGGTGCCTGTTACCTGTGCGTACCGCCTGACCCAGGTATAGAGCCTGCTGCTCTAGGTGCTGGTGAGGCTGCTGCCCTAGGTGCTGGTGAGGCTGCTGCTCCAGGTGCTGGTGAGTCTGCTCTCTCAGGTACTGCGCCTGCTGAGGCCTTGTACACCTTCACACTGGACTCAGGTGCTTCCCGCTCCTTCTTTCGCGACAGCACCACCCTCACGCCGCTCCGTCGGCCGGTTGCAGTCTCCCTGGCAGACCCCTCTGGGGGTCCAGTCCTTGCGCACTCCTCCACGCTCCTGCCGTGTCCGGCGGTCCCGTCTGGCTTCCTGTCAGGTCTTCACCTCCCCTCGTTCTCTACGAACTTGGTGGGTGGTGCTGACCTCCAGGACCAGTGGGTTGACCAGTTCAATCCTGGAGGTCAGCGAGTGACCCACTGTACGTGCTCCCGGACGGGCCGGCACCTGGCCACGTTTACTCGTGCGCCTGGCTCGAGTCTGTACACACTGACTACTGTGTCCCCTCAGGTCGCTGCGTCTGGTCAGCTAGCGGCCCCCTGCTCGTGTCGAGCTTTGTCGCACCAGACCCTCCTTTGGCACCACCGCCTTGGTCACCCCTCGGTGCAGCGCCTTCGTAGCATGCACCGCCGTTTCCTTGTCTCTGGACTTCCAGAGACTCTGCCTCCTCTACCACCCTCGCCTGCTCCTCCCTGTCTTCCCTGTGTCGAGGGGCGGCAGCGCGCCGCTCCTCACTCCTCCTCGTTCCCTCCCACAGAGGCTCCCCTGCAGACTCTCCACCTGGACGTGTGGGGCCCAGCCCGCGTCCGTGGACAGGGCCACGAGCGGTACTTCCTTTTGGTCGTCGACGACTACACGCGTTACACCACGGTCTTCCCCTTGCAGCGCAAGGGGGATGTCCCTGATGTTTTGATCCCCTGGATCCGCGCTGTTCGTCTCCAGCTCCGCGAGCGGTTCCAGTCGGACTTTCCTGTCCTGCGTCTGCACTCTGTCAGAGGTGGTGATTTCTCCTCAGACCTCTTGGCAGCCTTCTGTGCGGAGCACGGCATCCTCCAGACGTTCACGCTTCCGGCCTCTCCGCAGCAGAATGGGGTTGCTGAGCGCCGCATTGGCTTAGTCATGGAGGTCGCTCGTACCTCCATGATCCATGCGGCTGCCCCCCATTTTCTGTGGCCGTTTGCGGTCCGGTACGCCACGCATCAGCTCAACCTCTAGCCCCGTGTCTCCTTGCCGGAGACCTCGCCCACACTGCTGTGGACGGGGAAGGTTGGCGATGCGTCGCGTTTCCGGGTCTGGGGTGCTCGTGCCTTTGTCCGCGATACCACCGCGGACAAGCTCTCCGCCCGCGCTGTTCCCTGTGTCTTCCTTGGCTTTGTCCCTGACGCGCCTGGTTGGCAGTTTTACCACCCCACCTCGCGCCGT